CTGTATCTGTAAAATGAAAAGCATGGCCAAGGAGTGCAAAAGGAAGGGATGGCAAGGTAAGGCGAGGCAGCAGCAGATGGAGTGCTCAGCTCTGTAGGGCTGCCACTGTGTATTGCAGAGGCCGCCAGCCCTGCCTGCACTGGCAATTGCAGAGCTTCATCACTCTTCACACTGTGCCTCCCTCCTAGCCAGTGAGGCTGTTGGCTTCACATCCAATGAATCCTGGTGACTTCTGAGTTAGCTGCAAAAAATCATGCCACTCCCAACTGAGAAGGAAGTACTACAGCCAGACTATTGAAAACAAAGTGAAATAAATGGACTGTACTGACGAAGCAGCTAGGAGGAGATAGGAACGGAAGGCATGACTAAGAGGCAGCCAGGAAAGTCCTGGATTTGTTTGTGGGGTATAGGTGAGCTGGGATTGGTGTCTGCTGTGATTGTTCTCTGCCACTTGGTTGCATAATGACAGACTGATCTCCTGAGGCTGCTGGGATATTGCATGGCAAAATTGTCATCCAGGACAGAAGAGCCTTCAGTGGAGATCCAGGGTCAATCCTCACCGTGCTCTTGGATTGCTATGTGGTTGCAGGCCAGCAGCACCACAGTGGCAATCTGTCCCTGCCCATTAGCCTCCTTTTCTGGCCTTTGCCATGCATGCAGGCTCTGGGTCCAAACAGAACTGGTGCCAGTCTGGACTCGATGACATTGTCATAGCGTCAAAGTTTCAGGAGACAGAGAAGGAACTTGAGTTTTCAGGACAATCTGTTCAGCAGATGTTGGTTGCAAATGAAAATTTGAAGGAGGAAGATTTACATTCAGCAAAGATAGTAGACTGAAAAGATTAAGGTTAGTGCTGGTCCACTGAGCTAGCAATGAGGTGTGCAGATGACATCTGCAGAAGGGCTATCATTAGTAAAGATGATAATGATGCTTAAATCTCATCTGTTGTTTTAAAACTGCAGCACCTTAGGGGAGAAGGTGGGGCTCATCTGACCCATACATAAAATAGGAAGATTTGAAGTGACTTTCTTGTGGTGGCACAGTCTGCCACTGGCTGGGAGAAACTCAAGTGCCCTCTTCACCAGGCCATGCATGATACTTCTAACAGCACAAAGAAGTATGTGGTCACGCTGGTCCATCTACAGGAGGGACATCTGGCATGAAGGAAAAGCCTACGCTGAAGAACCATGTCCATCAGCTTGTGAAGAGCACCAGCTTTTGTAGTGCTCCAAGCTCAGCAGGGAGAGGTGGCAAGCCTGCAGAGCTTGACATTGGCAGGCAATAGCAACATGTCAGTCTAGAAAGCAAGGATAATGGAAGTGCAGCCCTGCTCCTGGGAGAGGAGCTCTCTGTAAATGGGATGGATATGTGAAGAAGTGCTCTGCCTCATGTGCATGAATAGAAATAACCTTAGAGAAACAGACCAATAATGATACTGTATATTCCATCTGGCTTGCCTCTGGGGACTGCAATTCCTGTCTCTTGGTGGTGGTAATGTATGGTCAGGGTGTGTTCTCCCAGAAAAGAATCTGCAGTGCAGTAAAAGCAGCAGGGATCCTTTCTGCAGTAAGGATCCAAACTGCTCTAAGACATTTCAGGGGTGTACAAACTGTTCCTGCTCTGAGATACAAAAGAGATCTCTGGTCAGACAGTTAAAGTGTAAGGGTGACTCCTCATGTTAACAAGTGCTGGCACACACTAACCCTGTTCAGAACCCCCCCAAAATGTTTGTCAACACAAACATTTCCCAGTGTACTTCCAAGCAGCGAGACATAGGTGTCAGTAGACTCCTTTAAGAGTTTTAGCTTGTTTAATGGTCGCAACAAAGAGAACAGGGGCAGGGAAGGAGCTTGTTCTTACCACATGTCTCTTTAACTAAGGCAGTTCTCAGTGTTTCCAGAGCATGCACAGGATCTAAGCCCATGTGCACAGGCATCCCAGCTCTTCCCACTCAGGATTTTTACCCATATTTCAAGTACTACAAATTTCTATATTTTCATAAGATACACATTAAATTTCAGGGCTTCATTAACAACACTATCAGTTACCTCACACCACCTTTTGAGCTGGGGAGGTTCAGGGGAAGGCTTTCAAACATTGACCACATTTTGCACTTCCAAGTCTCCACTTAAGCCTGTGTATCCAAACATTGTCAGGTTTACAACAATATCTCCAAAAACTTCACATTCCAAATCTTTTGCCTGTTATGTCATCTATGCTACTTGTTCAGAGGAGTGGTGTTTGAGTTAAAAAATTTTCTTCCTGTTCAGTGATTCTTTACCTCATTTGTCCAGGAATATGGGCATTTCCATACCTTTAAAAATTCCAGTACTGGTGCCGAATAAAACAAATTGTATCTTCTTCAGTAGTGAGTGAAGCAGGTTTTAATCTGTCTCTTCATGCCAGTGGTAAATTTGACCTTTACAGGTCTGCCCTAGCAGAACAAAGGATTTGAAAAATGAGGTGCTAACTGCATTTTTATCTGCAAATCCAAATGTGGACTAATCCATTACAACCTCTTAAGTTTGCTGGCAATTGCTTTGTCTTTTTGCTTAAGTGGAGGTCTATTTTTGTAGTCTTTGCCATCAGATCCTAAAGATTAAGATTGTGAGGGTTTACAAAAAGAATACAATGTTGCCTCTATACAGGTACTAAACAGGGTGCAACTTTATTTACAGTGTAAAGTGCATCACATGGAAGTCGTTTAAAACACACAACAAGCAGTGACATAAATGACAATACAGTACTGGGTAGGGTGGGGAAAATATTCCAGCAAGTATCAAAACATCATCAATAGCACTAATATGACAGCCTCTAGTTTCAGCTATTCTGTCCTAACGCCCTATCTCCTTACAAAACATGTTGACTGGGTTGATCCCAGGACTCCATGTACAAGTCACTAGTGTGAAGCTGGGGTGCTAAAAGCTGTTCTCCAGCCCTAAACTGTCCAGCAATGTCCTGCCAGATCTAAGCACTCTCCTTGCCACTGCTGTTCTGCTCTGGACAAGACCAGGACAGAGTAAGAGGACACACCAGAGAAGCACACTGGAAAAGAGACAAAACCACGAGAATGACATATAAATAAAGATCTACTTTTCTCACCTATCCACTTTTTCCCTTGAGAAGTCCTGTGTTGCTCACTGCAGCTTTCCTTCATTTGCTGTTAAGGCAGCAAGGAAGTCAAGGAACAAAGTGCCTACAAATGGTGGTGACTGAGTGCTGAAATGTGGACATTACTTACTGAACACTAACTTCAGTCAAAGCTGTAAACGTCGATGGCTGTGGAGCTGGGAGACAGAAGATTTTGCTACGTGCTAGCAGACTTCATTAGAAAAAGAAGGTTGTGGGAGCTAAAACCACAACTCTTCAGCTGGTTGCAGCTCCCACTGGGAAGGAATCTACATTCACATTAATTTGATCCCCTAATGACTCCTATTCTTTACTATCTGTTTTTCTTTTTATTGGCTGAAAGCTCCTAATGGCTGACAACTTCGCTTGTTTCTTTCTTCTTTTCTGGTTTTGGGCTAACAGCCATCAGTTATGCGTCAGTATTTACTAGAGCCCTGTTACTGTAACTGTGAGCTTGTTTTGGTGTCCTATCACTTTCCTGTATCAGGGTTCATGCATAAAAGGAAGGTACATCCATAAAGTGGGGTGGGGCAGTTGTGCAGACTCTTAATCTGGAGGGTAACTAAGCAGGAATAGGAAGCTACAGAAGGTAAAATTTATTTCTCTTTTTCTTTCCCAATGATAACTGCAAATTAAACTTTTCTGTTATTATTGGGAAAAATGGAGCCTCTGATCAATGACTCTTGTTCTGACTCTAAGACCTTTTTTCATAGATCAGACTTTTTTCTAACTGATAACAGTTACCAAACATGTGACTTTGAAAGATGCAATGCATGAGATTTCTGTCTTGTAATTCCACCACTCTACTTAATCATAAATTTTAACATTTCAATTCATCAGAGCATGACTTAATGGTGGAATTCATGTGTGTTTTCCTCAGGCACAGTGGGATCACCAGTCTGAGAATGAGAAATCTGATAACATGTATGCTCTCAGTATTTTTCAGTCAACTGAGCATTTCTGCCTGTGTGTGTTCAAGAGAGGCCTTTTCCAATTTTTGAGGATTCTGCATAACAAAACCACAACATTTTTGCACGCAATAGCAAACTTTCACTCATAAACCTAGCTGGTGCCTTCTCTCTCCATCTCAGGGGCAGTCAGATATTGGGACCCAATCCTAAGATATCAAAAACATTCACCTAGCAGATACCTATGAAGAGATGTACTTCATTTATATAGGAAAGGGATGGTGGTTACAGGCAGGTTGTGAATCCCATGGCAAATGGAAGGTGCAAGTTTCAGAGATCCATCTGCTTCCTACTGCTGGATCCTGGATTATTCAGCTTAGAGCTACACCTGAACAGCCTGTAGGTCAGAAAGCTTCAAAGACTCTTGTTGGCTAGACTTAATCCATTCTTCTCTGAACGAGATGATGTTCCCTCATCTCTTTTACTAAGAAATCTCACATAAAACTCATGCCTCCCATTAAGTCACTCTCCAATGAAGTTAATGTCACATGAACTACACTACAGAATCTTCTTCTTATGCTCACCAGAAACTGTGGTTACAACACAGACCTTATCACATGCAGTTATAATTTTTATCAGCTGAAGTTCCAAGGCAGAGTTTAGAGGCTCATTCAGCCTTGTGTAACACACTTTACTGTTGAGTTGCTGGACAGTAGTATGCTTTGACAGCTCGTAAGCAGAGTTGCCATATTCTGTTTAATCATGACTGACAGTATAGTACAGTTTAATTAGCTTAATTAATGTAAGAAATGGGAGGGACTTCACCTTAAACAAGCACTTCCTCAATGGATTGTAGGAATCTTTACATTTGTATGTGTATGTGTGTATGACACCTGTGTAGCAGCATATATTTGATAATACTTTTATAAATGAAAAATACAGAGGATTTCTTTAAAAATTGAAAGATGTATCACAAAATAAAATACAAAACAAGGGAGATGGGGAGGGGTGAGGGAAGGGAAACAATGGATTTGATTTACAATGCATTAGAATCCAAGCCTTGGTGCCTAGGCTGAAGAAAGATATCTGAATGTAGAATTGCTGCTCTGATGTTAAAAGGGATAGAATCCAGCCTTCCGTTTCCTGCATCAAAAACAAAATAAAATCAGTGGTGTGCTGAACATATCAAATGATCAACACTGAGGCACAAGAGGATGGTGTCTGAAAGCATACCACAGATTAGAATGCCACGGCTCAAAGAGGTGGAGAGAGTGGCCATGGGAAATAGAAATATCTGACATTTAATTTAAGTCATGGTTTATCACAGAGAAGTTTGGAACTAGTCTTATTCTGCATGCTGATAAAAACTTTGGGACCTTTCAGCTTCCCCTTATAAATCCACATCTTATTAACTGCAGCAGGGAATCTCTGGTATCATGTTATTTGCCTGTATTGTTTTAGAATTCCCAGGTATCATATCCCATAAAGAGCCACAAGTAACTGAGGCCAAAACATAACAAAATGTGAAACAGATCTCAGAGCTCGTTTCTGTCTTCACTTCACCCATCCAGCTATGTTTGGGAAATGTCCTCTCAAACACATGTCCTCTCTGGAAGGGACAAGCTGCTAGATCGCAATCCTGCAGGGCTAATGACCCACCTTCTGTGCTCTGCTGCACAGAGCTATGGACTTGGACAAAAAACCCAACAAAAGAAGCCAAGGATAGTCCAGTTTGGGAATAGCCTGAAACTTTTATAATGAGATAAACTCCACTATTTTTGGCTATTATGCCTGCTGGATTTGGGCTTCTCTACTTCATGTCCTAAATGGATATACTACCAGACTTCAGATGCATACCTTTCTAAAGCTGAAAGATACTGTTTGTTGGCAATACATTTAAGTTGCTTCACAAAGGCACATATAATCACAGCTGACAATTGAACACTATTTGTTTTGGACAATGTCATTTCTCAGTTAAGCATCTCTTCTATAGTTTTAAGATAAACTGTCTATCAAAGGGATAGGAAGAAATGTCTGTCACTATCTGCCCAGAAAGAAGAACAGAAAAAATTACAATGTCACAGGCTTCATCTGCTCCCTGCAGAAAAATATTCATATTCATCTGGTTCTTATTTAGCTCTCCAGGATAATGACCACTGTGTTCAGCAAGAGCCTGTGTGAGTTGAGGTATATATATTTTTTCCTATCATGGCCCTAGAGCTGCCAGGAGATTTGAACTTGGACTTGCCTCAGAGGCACCTAGTTGCACTCTTTAAATGTTTACATCACTCAATGCTGGGTGTAAGATGACTTATTATTTATGACAAACATTGCATAACCCCAGTCTTAAACATGGACCTAGCTAAGGCTTATACAGTTCAAAATGAACATTAGTAAAGAGTAAGCCACCAAAATTTCCCAAAGAACATTCTGTATTACATGTCAAAACCCCACCTCCATTTACATAATGAAAAAATCAGTCTAAACATTGTGGGTTTGCCTCTCTGATTACATGTAAAGATAGAATTTTCAGAGTTTTCTAAAGTTTGGCAATCATTTTGCAGAGTACCTTCTAAGGTCTTTACATATTGCCCATGAAACTTGAGGCATCTAAAGGTTACTGATTTACAGGATCTAGAGATGCTCAAAATGTTAAAATTATTTCCTCATTCCTCAGGTTTAGAGTTCAGTAGGGTGTGATTCAGTCTAGCCCTGGGACAGTGCTCAGTGACACTTACCTAGAGCAGTCAGGTCCAGTCCAGGAAGAGGGACAGTAGCACCGGTTTGGTCGTATGCACCTCCCACCATTTAAGCAAGGCAACTGGCAAACAGCTGCACACAAACACACACAAATTTGCATTAATGAACACATCCACAACAAGGTGATTTGTTGTGGAATAGTAGCAGGACACTGAAAATCCATCCTGCCTTATTCTCTTAAGAATGGAAAGGGCAGCCTGAGAAGCATACGTCTGCTAAGTGTGATTTGACTCCTTCTACTACTTTTGCTGTCTGATGCATTGTATAAGCTGCCTGAAACAGCCAGTGTGTAATTTCACATTGCCTTAAAAATTCTGTTGTTCTTTGATTCCAATTAAGACAACAAAGGAATGCAAGCAGAAGTAGGAGCAAGAATTAGAAGAATCATGAGATGAACAGGAGAACAGGAATAAACTAGATTTTTTTTTTTAAAGGTATGTGACAGCTTAATACTAGCCAGGACAAGCAGACACCAGACATGGGAAAAAAGTATAGAAAGAGACAGCAAAAGCAGAAGAAGCTGAAGGTCAGAAAGCCATATGCAGATCAATAGCAGCAAGGAGTAAGACTTCATGGAATGGCACCTGCATGGAGACAAGGAAAGGAAGCAGAGAATGACCGTAAGATCCTGAAAGACACTGGATAGCCCTAAGAGGTGAGACTAGTTGCAACAGGGCATTAGAGAAAACACCCTTGTCTGCCTTACAGGTCATGCTGAGCCTGGCTGAACATGCTTTTGTGTCACAGTCTAACCCAAGGGTATCACGTAACCAAACACAAGTCAAAGTTTCAAGTCTTCCTATCAATTTTGAGATTGAAAGGTAAAGAACCGCACAGTTTATAGAACCAATTTAGATATACACTTAATGAGGTCCTTCAAACACAAACATTTATATTGCAGGAAAGATGTGAATACTTTAAAGCAGATAATGCCATATGTAGAGGACAGACCTAAAAATACCAGTGAGGAAAAAGTCTGGGTAATATTTTTGCAAGGAATATGCATCAGGGAGCACTGATTATTATGGAATTACAAGAAATGGAAATGAGTAGTCACAGGAATGCAAAAAACCTACTCCAGTTCCTCTGGGCCAAACAAGAACAAAAAATGGCAGGAGGCTACTGTGATAGACCATCCATATACAATTAAGTGCACCAAGTGCATAATGTTGAAAATTACTTCTGATTTTGGAATGAAGCATATGACCAAAACATCTTTAGCTGTCACTGAAGTATTTCTCTATCACAGCAAAATGTCAATATCAGTAGCTGAAACAACAAATGATTAAAAAACTTCATAAGCAGTGTTTATGATGCAGATGCAGTTGTTCACTATAATTTTCCCTTTAGCTACTGAAAAGCAAGTCAAGCCTGTACAGATTTGAATGCCTGGCCAAAAAGCCAAGAAGCCTTCAATCCTCCTCAAGCACCTATTATAGCTGCAAAGCTTGTGAAATATGAGAGGAAATTATGCATTATGCGTTAGGTAAGAGTCCCTTCAAAATACAATAGTTCAGAGTGAAAATGTTTTCGCTGGTATTTCAATTTTCTGCAGAAGGATTTGGTTTGCAGTGTATCGCACAGCTTATCTCCCAGATTCACTATTCTTATCAGTTAAACAAATACTTTGAACATTCATTAACAGAGGCATGAATTACTTCCCAGCTCGTCCCATCAGCTACTTCAAGGTCTTGCAGGAAGACAAAACTGGGCTTTCATGTTAAGCTCCTGTTAAAAATCAGTTAAGGTACACCTGGACAATAAAAATACAGTGAAGAAACTGAAATAAATGTTTAAAAATAGCTAATATTTGTAAATGTTTAAGATTTAACAATGATTGAAAGATGTTTCAGTAATCAGTCAATTGCTGAGTTTTATTGTCTTTTCACAGGGAAAAGTCTTTCAAAATCTGGTGTTTGTTCAGTCTTCATATGAAATCCCATATTCTAAACTCAGATTCAAATATTTTCCGTAAGTACAGCCAACCTCATCTCACACAAATCGACTGGTTAGGCCACAAACCTGGACACTAGAATCACTCCCCTCCTACCTCTCACTATTTTTGTGTGCTCCATGACCTTCACTTTTGGTTAGGTGCAAGTAAGAGATCTAGCAAAAAGAAGTGCACATTGAATTTGCTCAAAGAACTTAGATGATACCTAATGCAAGTTACCCATGTACAATGTATCTATTGAACTCAATCACCCTTAAATCCTTGCTTTGGTGTGCTCTGTCCTGATTCAGTACCCAGGCAATCAGTGGGCATCCACCAAACCAGACAGCTATGTGGTGAAAAACCTCTGTAATACCTGCAGCTTGTTTGTGAATTTAATGGTGACCTGCATTTCCTGAAGATGAAAATGAAAATCATGCCCCTGGAATTGAGAAAAATAGTTTTATTCTTCTCCTTGGAAACCCTTTCTCCTTTGCACTGCTTTTTGCAGAGAGTACTTTTGTGAATACTGTCTGTCCTTTTTGAGAGCAAGCTTTTCTGGTACTTTTAAAGACTCATAAAGGAGGACTAGTCTGAAGGTAGTTTACAGCTGGGAACAGCAAATCTTCCAGGAACCTTATTGTAGGCCTGGGTTTTCCTGTGACAAGCTCAGGAGTTTTATGAGCCCTAGAGAACTGCGCTAGGTATTGCTAGCAGAGTTCCAAAAAGTGAGAAAAAAGGCAGGTGAGAAGTTTTACCCATATGGCAGCGTGATCCAGTCCATCCGAGGGGGCAGTCACATTGGTAAGGGGCCACGCAGCGACCTCCGTTGAGACATGGCAGAATGCATATTGCTAAGGAGAAGAGAACCAGAGAAAATAATTATCTCCCATGAAAGCAAAGAATAGAGTGTGCAGGAGACGAACTTATGTTTAACTAGAAACTCTACTGCCCCTTGAAGTGTTTGCATGGAGTATCAGCAGAGCTGAGCAAGACCAGGCATGAGCAGCTCCTACAACTGGCATGACAGACAGATTTGACAAAGAGTAGTGGCAAAGAAATGGATAGGCTGGAGCAATTGCTGGAGTCCTTCAGGTGCTTGTAGGCTCTGTGTTCATGGGAAATGAGCCAGGGTTGTTTGTATCTCACATGTAATATCCACAGATATTGGCCACTTCTGTGATGGTGCTAACAAACCAGTTCATGCTTTAATCACAAAAAACTGGATTGTTCGTGAATTCTCTGGGCTTGAAGATGTAGCATCCAAAACAAGTTAATCTGTTCCCTGCCCATAGAAAAGCACTTTGTCTAGGCCAATAAAAACATGTTGAGACAGGTGAAACTATATGCCCCTTGGGAAAAGCAGCTTGGATACAAGGCATTTTGGGTGAAAAAGGCTAGGGCTGGAAGCTCTGGGGAAGAAACAAAGCACATACCAAGCAGCGGATGGCCTCTGGACAGGGAAGCAATCGAGCTATGCTGCTCCTGTGAGCAGATCTGCAAAATTCCCAGGTGTTCATGCTTTAAGTATCTTCACAAAACTATCATCTCCACTATGCTAAGTGAACAAAATACTTGAGCGTACCTGCTCTAAGAAGAGCAAAAGTTGAGCGGGGTCTCAAATTTGGACCCTCAAGAGGCATTTCCAGTAGAGTTTAATACTGGGAGGGTGGATGGGGGCTGCGTAAGACTGAGGTAGGGGTTCTTCCTCTTCTTCTGCTGCACAGCACAGTATTTCCTGGTGACACAGGACTAACCTGTATCACCAGGAAATACTTTTCTAAATCATTAAACTTGTAGTACCATGCAAGTTTTTTAGAATGGTCAGCACTCTCTCAAGAAGATGAATCCTATCTTTTTTGTGAAATGTACTGTGAACTACAGGGTGACTAAATTCTCTCAGTGTGCTCACTGTGGCCTGATACTGACAAGTCAGTGCTCAGTGCTAGCACTCAAAAATTCCTTGGGCTTCCAGAACAGGCCCTCAGCTTCAAGGACTAAACCTGTTTTTCTCTTCACTGCTGCACCTTGTTTGACAAGCAATGCAAAATTGGTGTTGTACTGACCAATTGTGGGAATTTTCTCTTTTCTAACTATCTATACTAAAGTAAAACAAAACAAAACAAAACAAAACAAATGAACCAAAACAAAAAAAACCCCTAGTGCCTGTACCTTCATGAAGTGTGACCTGCCTGGTCAGTTGCCAGTCTGAATTGGATGATGACTGAAACGGCTGGGATCATAAATGAAATGTCTAGTTCTGGAGAATGCTTCAAGTGTCATTACTGATGAAACTAATAAATGCAATTGTGGGATACCAAACACAGTTTTTTCAGACACAGTGTGCAAGCCTCTTCTGCTGAGACTGTGAGACTTACAGGACTCAGTTGCACAAATGGCTGTGGTGATACTGCCAGGCACAGGTACAGAAAAAGAGGAGCTGTGTGAATATACAACATAGCTGGAGTTTCCATAAATGCAAAAAGACAAAACTTGCTGAACTTCTTGTTCTCATTCTGTATCTACTACTAATTTCTGCCATATGCAACTGATACTGTCACAGAGAAGACCTGAAAGCTGCAGAGATTCAGAGGACCATTTTAACATATGATACATCTTAAATACTTGAACCATATTCTTTTCCAAGAACTAGATGAGAATGTGCACAATTTTTGTAGGTTTCCATGTATATTCAGAGTCAGGGGCAGTGACTCAGATTTGGGGACTGTGACACCACCCCTGCTGTAGATCTCAGACATGCTAAAACCTTACATCAGGGCCATACTGAATACTAAATACTAAATAAAGGCACTTCCTTTTCTCTCCACATAGGCCTATGCCTTACTATATGTACAGTAATAAGGTTCCTCATGCAGCAGCTATGCCAGGCTGAAAGGCTGAAAGGGTTAAATCTCCCAAATTCCTTGTGCTAAGACCACCATGAAGAGAAACATGGATCAAACTGGCATCCCAATGTCATCCAGGGAATCTGATTTGAGAGTCAGATTTGGCTCTTTTCAGCGACAACAGATCCAGTTCTCTAATAATTTGGAAATCCATGACAGGAAAAACCAGTCTAGAACTTGTGAGGGGCAAGTATACAGGTCAGGAGGGACAGCCTGGAAAATGTGACACATTACATTATTTGAACATGAACTGATGAGGTTCATAACCACAGACTGATAAAAATGGAAGCCAAGAAACTAATGCAGCCACCAGCAGAACATTCACATCTCTTCTGTTCTAATCACTGTTCATTCCCCAAAACTACTATCAGGTATTGCTATTAGAAACAGACTTTGGAGAACTGAAACAAGGTGTTCTTCAACCACGGTGAAAGAGCACTGAGAAACAAAATCACATCAATTTAAAAAGTGCTTATTTTGCTTTGAAGATGTAGGGGAACGGCTATTTTTCTAGAAACAAGCCAAGTATATACCTTTCTGTTCCCTTACATTTGTCAAGCAGAATATATTAATGATTTTTATGGTTTTATCTCTTATCCCTCTTCTGGTTCACTGCAGTAAATTCATCTGTCTTACCAATAACACCCTTAGGATTACAGTTAGGGATGGCATACATACGCTCTTCGCAGAGACGGCCCATCCAGCCATCGGGACAGGAGCAGGCGTTGGGTCGCTCGCAGACGCCGCCGTTCTGGCACGGGAACCGGCAGACAGCTGGAAACACCGCGATTTCATTACAAACTCTGGACACTGAATTAGAAGCCTAGTAACTCAGCAGTAACTTGCATAGACCTTTGCAGAGTAAAGCTTAGAGCAGAACAAACAAATGCAGTGAAGTTCAGAAACATTGCCTGATTTTGATTTCCAGGGCTACATCATCTTCTGGCTCTATGTGTTTGATTAGGTACTGTAAGCAAGAGTGTGGAATCATTAAGATAATCAAAAGATTGTCCACAGAAAGAATGAAAATGTAGACATACTTATAGTTGAATAAATTATTTGGATAGTGTTTCAAGGCTGACACTATTCTTTATCTGATTTTCCCACTAACTTTTGTAATAGAAAACTAAAATACCCACACAATACACCATAAAAACCTATTACCCTCCTCACCCCTTCACCCAGGCCTTCTACATTGACTCTGGAATAGAATCAAGCTTTCTTCTAACCTTGGTATGAAACACCAAGATAATGCCATCTGGCATACACTGTCTAAAGTAAGATTAACTGTGTGATAGAACAGGCAATTTTTACTGTACTATCATCCACCATAATGAGAAGTGACCAAAAAGGGTGCAGCAGTGGCACTGTAAGTGTTCACCTCTGGAACTCAAAGTATGACTACAAACCTCACCAAGCATTCACACTGACTGGGGCTCCTCAGCTTCCATTCCCATTAATATGCCCCTGACCATGAAAGTGAGGAATTTGGAGTGGAGTCTGTCATGCTGGGCCAATGTGGTGCCTGGGCTGGACAGACTTTGGACTTCTTTGTCACTTCTATGACACCGTACCATCTCTTGTCATACACATCCAGGGAAACCAGGTCTACTTTAGAAAACCAGGTGAAAGCTATGCACAAACATGTTATACTTAAAGATTGTTGGAGGAAGCACGATCTTTCTCATGTTGGTGTAGACACTATACAGAGAAAATGAAAAATTGCAACTTCAAGACAATATGACAGAACAAATAAGTAATAAGACTGACAGTAATCTCAGGAAACTCAATCTGAACTCCTAATTGCATCTGAACTGCTATTGTTAATTTGTTATTAGGTGAGCAAAATATGCATTTAAGCTTTGAGTGTTTGTTAGCATTCAATACAAACAGTGGATTGGCACACTGAAACACTGTTCAGACCTGAAATCCTCATTGGAAAGAATGCAAATCTTTCCCTCAGGGAGACAAACTTGAGTCACTCCTGGAGCTAAGCCATGCCAAAATGCAAGATACAGCTTGGAGTCTGTTGAAATGAGGCCAAGGCTCTGCCATGTTATTTTTCAGTCTCAAGAGCCTTCCCATCAAGTGTCAGCTGATAATGAGAATGGGAAGAGATCTCTGAAAGATTAACATAATTTACAATATTTTAACAGTGATTTTGAAAATTTTTGTTGTAAAAATATCTATTACTATATAGACAGCTTGTCTCTGGGTGTTGACTAAAGCAGAATAGTGTGCCAAACAGGTTTTCTGCAATGGAAGAACCATTTAAAGCTTTGTGTGATCTACACCACTTAAACAATATTACGCGAATGTATAATGGGATGTGAGATAAAATATTCATGTATAAATGATATCCCACATTAAATTCAAAGCCCACGAAATAAAGTCTCTGAAATATTCTTCCTCTCTGTTGATGTAGAAGATGCAGATATTTCATGAGTTACAAAAATTGCTTTGGATGGCAACTCCTTGCTAGTCAGCAATCAGCTGTAGAGATAGGCTTTTCCTGGGTTTCTGTCCAGGTCCTGGTTGTGAAATTGAACGAGAACGTATCATCCCTAGATGTGCACTTGTTATACACCAATTTAGGCAAGCAAAGGCTACTTGTCTGTAGCTGTGAGGATTATTCTTATCAACGGACAAGACTAGAAAAATGGACTGGAAGTTAAGCTGAGCTCTCTTTTTTATTTTTTTGTCTATTGTAAAAATAAGCCAATGAAGTCCTGATGTGCCAGGGAGAGAACAGAAAGTATCAATTGTGACTTTAGTTTATGATAGCAAATCTCACATCTATGGTATCAATCTTTTGACATCCCCTTGTAAATTTATCTACACAGGACACAAAAGCATTACACTGCTGCATGTCAAATGTGTCAAAAGGGGAAAAATAAATTCTGTTATCTGTTTTCAGCTTTACAAAATGCTTCCTTGTGGTTTCAAGTGAACAATTTCCTCAGGCCCCAGCTTCCCTCTCATAATGTTCTTATTTGCTGATGGGGTACAAACTTTCTTGTTGACAGATCCACATGGACCACTCAGAGTCAGCAAGATGTGAAGAGGGCAAACAGAGAAGAGTTTCAGAGCACTTCAGAAAGAAGAACCCGGAGTCAGGTAAGCTGTGTGCATCTGTGCAGCTTAATGAGTCCTGCAGATATTTACAATCAGCAGATCCAGGCTAATACTTCTCACCCCTGAAACTCAGATCAGAATCTGGCCAGCAACGTCTAACCAGTGGTGATTCAGGCAAGTGTGGCTGTGGTGAGAGGCCTTTCAAAGAAGTCTGCTTTTTAATTATAATATTTACATTAACAAACCTGTTCATCTGGGTCAGAACGTTTCAAGCAGGCTTAGAACACAATAATCAATTCACACAGCCATAAACAAGAAATGCAGCATGAGTCATTACGAAGAGTGCTTTCATGTAGTTTCTGATGTAGACCACAAAGGCTTGGGTCCTGTAGGACTTTTGTTAGGAAAATCACTCATATGAATTATAAAGCTGTTTTGAAAGATCACTTTGACATGTGTCATGAAAATGCAGGACAGTTCTCTCAGAAACATCTTTAATTCTTTTAAAGTCCCCTTTTAGAAAAGAGGAGGGAAATTGTTATTCCCCTCCCTTAATACACAGGTTATTCTGCTTTGTTTTCCACCTTCATCATGTCTCCACCTCTTCACCTCATTTTTTGAAATAATTTTGCGTAATACTTTTTCCTCTGAACAGTCCCAGTAGATACTGCAGTGTTGCAAACAGAATGTTTGACAGTGCTTTGCAGATCAGCCCTTCTTGGTTCCTGGTGACCTTTCTTAGCAGACAATTACATCCCTTGGCATAAAGGAGTTCTTTGTAACTAATAAATATTAAATAAGAATAAAAAGTAAAGCTGGTGATATTAAAAGGACAATTGAACAATCCAAAGTGCTACAACTGGAACAGATATTATCCAAATAATTTTGCTATTGAATTCTATCTTAGGTAAAGTAGCTATTATGCAGAGATCCCTTGAATTCTGTAGCCATCACAGTTTAGAAATACGAACTTTTTAGAAATAGCCTTGTGCTTTGGGAGTGCAAATTTCCAACAGCACTTTTGGATACATCATGACAACTGAAGTAACTCAGTTGCTTTTCCTTCAAATCTTCTCTACTTGGCTGTGTGATGGGTAGTTGTTCATGCCAGTGGCAAGCCATGGTCACAAACCCAAGACAAACCTGTTTCTCAGGAAAAGCTACTTTACTCCTGAAATATTCAGGAGCTGCAAACCCTCTTCTTTGGTTCTGGTTTCCTCAAAATGCTCTACTGATCCATGATTTTTAGGCAAGACATTGTAACTATCAGATACAGGAATTTAATTGAGTGCCTGCTTTCATAGAGAAGGGTATCTCAACTTCTTTAGCTATTACCATTCATAATATTTTGCTGTCAGATTCATATAAAAAAAACTGATGAGCGGTCCATGATTTTCCAGGCTTAGCACAGTATAGAACCCTCTATCTCCAAATGATTTCTGACCTAAACAGAAGCTCTCTGAGGAAGGAAGAAATGTTGCTTGTATTTTGACATGAGTAGCTGAGACTTGCAGGAGAGGCTGACCTGGCAGTTCTGATAATGACTCCAATGCTCCCAGGTGAGTGTCCTTGAACTTTTCTTCTTCTTTGTGAAGAGGAATGGGGCTGCTCGTGACTGGCCACTGCTGTGTTGTAAGGTTTTCTGCTTTCTCAATAAAATACCTAAAGCTCAATTTGTCATGGTGGCTGTTCCACAGTTTGAAATAAGACTTCAGGGTGCAGCTAACTCCCTGCTCCACAGCTGCCCAGCAGCAGAGAGCAAGCCAAGCTTCTGACATGGAAATGGCAGATGACAAGATCTCTTCCACCAAAGCCCTATGACCCTGAACTCTTTTGCTGTGCCTCATCCATGGCTTTAAGTTAGTATTTGAATATGCTTATATATGTTTTTTATTGTTAAGTTTATTTTCTCTTCAATTCTTTGTTTCCCCCATTTTCTGTTCAAAACATTTTATTTATTTGAATCTTCTAAATGGAAGAGTTAACTCTTGGCTTTAAAAAAGTGAATGTTTTAGCTCAACAGACCAAGAAATAACAAATACCTGCTGATCTGCCAAGTGTAGAAAGCCTGGTATATTGTTAAATCTATGGATTTTCTAGAGGGCTCAGTGTGTATTATTTAGTGAGCTATATCAATCTACCTCTTATTGCAAATTGAATTTCAGGAGCTGCCACACTTTAAACATAGTGAGGGACTAAGAACACATTTGATCTATTTTGGTTTCTGCAGTGTTCAGTTTTTGACTGTGAAAAACTGACTGGCAGTGCTTATCTGAAACAGGTCAGCTTGTCAGGAAGATAACTAGTTCTGTCACTTTTTGCAAAAGATGTCAGGAGAAAAGATACTAGGTGTGGGATACAACACTGTAGCAAAAGAAACCCTAAGACTAGCTGGGACTAAAGAAAAAATCTTTAAATTGGAAATAAAGCAATAACATGGAATTAAGTGCCCTGAGTGAAAATATGACTGCACTAAAACTAGCAAAAATTTCACTTTCATTTTTATTGCACCCAGGATGACACCTCTGTGTTTATGGCAAATTAAGCTATCATTCTGTTAGTAAAACATACTTACCTTTGCAGGTAGGTGGTGTTGTCCATGTTCCATTTTCCAAGCAAATACTCCTCAGGGGCCCCTCCAGCATGTACCCACTGTAGCATGAATAGGTGATCATGTCTCCATACTGATAGAAGCTACCACGAATCAGAGCATTCTCTACATGAGCTGGGGGACCGCAAGATATCTCTAAACAAAAGAAACCATCCAGATGCTGGTGAGCTGCAGAGCCTACATGACACAGATTTTAATGCTGTTGTGGGGGGGAGGTGTCACAGACACCTTCCAGATGGTCAATCAGCAATGGAGTCCAAGGATCCGGACAAACTTAAGAAGTGGGCTCATGAGAATCCCATGATGTTCAACATGCCCAAGTGCAAAGTGCTGCACTCAGGTCAGGGCAATACCAAACGTGAGTACAGACTGGGAGAAGAAGTCACTGAGAGCAACCCTGAGAAGGGCTTGGGGGTTCTTCATGGTGAGAGGATGGACATGAGCCAATAGCTGCATTTTTGGATGCAGCCCTGAAAGCCACTGGTATCCTGGGCTGCATCAAAAGAAGTGAGACCAGCAGGGTGAGAGAGGGGATTATCTCACTCTATTCTGCCCTTGTGAGATCCCATCTGGAGTGCTGCATCCATCTCTGGGGTCCTCAGGACAAGAAAGAGTGGGTCCAGAGAAGGGCAGAGGGATGGAGCATCTCTCCTAACCAGACAGGTAAAAAGAGCTGGGATTATTCAGCATGGATCCAGGAGAAGGCTTCAGGGAGACCTCATTGCAGCTTTCCTGTTCCTTAAAGGGTCTTATTAAGAGGAGGTAGTATTTATATAAGAAGATAGAGACAGAACAAGAGGCAATGATTTTAAACTGAAAGAAAGTACGTTTAGTTTAGATATTAGAAAGAAATTCTTTACCCAGACAGTGATGAGGTGCTGGAACAGGTTGCCCAAGGAAGCTGTTGATACCCCATACCTGTAAGTGTTCAAGGCCAGGCTGGATGGGACCCTGAGCAACCTGATTTAATGAATGGCATCCCTACCCATGGCAGAGGGGTTGGAACTAGATGATCTTAAATGTCCTTTCCAACCCAACCCATTCTGTGATCCCATTTGTCTAAATAGTACTGCTTGCAAGAAGTCAAAAGGTTTTCCAACATGCTTGCTAAAGGATACTGCCTTCTGTAAGTATCAATAAATAAAATGAAAGGCAGCACCTCTTTCTGCAGCTCTTGTCTCATCACCCATAATCTCATAGAAACCATTCTTAGGGTATTTAGGGTATCCAACAATCAACCCAACTCCAGGGCTTGCACAAGGTAAATGAAGAATACATATACAGAAGGGCCTAGTAAATAGTAGGATGAATACTGTTGAAACACCAACCCACACAGATGTATTCTGAGTCCTTCTAAAGGAACACCTCTGTTAGAAAGAAAGAAAACATAGCTCTTCTCCAGAGCTTCTTAGAGCCCTCTGGAAACTACCAATCCCTGTGTAACAATGTGTCTTGTACTTACTTTCACACTTAGCTGTGGCTGGAGTCCAGGTCTCATCAGCATTGCAGGTGATCACAGACTGCCCTTTCAGCTGGTAGCCTTCCCTGCACCTGATGGATACATTCTGGCCAACATGAAAATCCACCTCTGACAGAAGGGCATTCTCTGGGATTATGAAAGGCACAGGACAAGGGTTTGCTGTTAAAAGTAAGGGTGTGAGGGAAAAGAAGGGAAGAAAAAGAGATGGAAGAAGAGAGACCACTTTAGAATAGTTTCTGCAAATTTCAAACCCAAAACATATGAGAAGAAATGGATGTTGTATGTGAACCCAACTTGTAATTTGATTTGAAATGATGAGATTTGGGTCATAAAATAATAATTAAAAAAATTCTAATTCACTGCTGCCACATGGCTTGCTATCATGTTCTGCTGATGCCAGGACAGGGCATACTAAGGATTTAAGTGAGAAATATCCTACTTGTTACTGTGAAACATTCTCTCTTGTCCTTCCTGTTTACCATAACCTTCCTATAAAAGAGAACCAGACCTATCCTACTTCATGTTTGGAGGGGCTGGATCAATAAAGAGCAGCAAAAATTCAGATGTTTGATTAGAGACTTACTGTGTCATTCATTGGAGTTTAGAATCTCTCTAATTTTATTTATTGCTGGCTGTAAGCTTGCTGGACTATTTTTGCATGGTCTATTGGTGAACTCATCACCAGTGTGGAAAATATTGGCTCTATAAAGAGCAGAGATTTATATCAGTGTCTTGATACTAAAATGAATAAATACTTTGCAATACAAAAATTAAATGTCTAAATTAACCATCCTAAGAATACACTAGGTCTTAAAATTAGTTACAGACACATACAGTAACAAGAAAGGCTATTGTGGGTTTGTGGGTACAGTGCACATGTACATAACACAATATTTTACAGAATTGCAGAAGAATTTATACAGCCATTAAGTACAAGCTTCTTCTCCAAACAGGGCCAGTTAGGTTAGAAGTTGCTCTGGAACCTGATCAGAAATTTCAGTTAAATTTGAGTAACTGTGGATGAGATCTCATGTCCTCTCTGGGTTTCTTCTCCTCGGCTTGACTCTGTTGATGGCAAAAAGTTTCTTCAAAAACTTCACTGGAGCTTGCTTTGTTGCAACTCATGTGCATTGCATTTCACTCTACCACTGTTCAACCCTGAGAAGAATCTGGCACTTTTTCCTTTGCACCCTGTCAATATGTCACTTGTGGATGACAATGAAGTCTCCCTTTTGCCTTCTCCAAATGATTCTCTCACCTGTTTCTACTATATATCAAGTGTTTGACTATGGTAACTCCATTTTATGTCATCTTTCCAACTAGAGGGACCTATGCAGAAGGCAACTTGTTCTCTTACTGTCACAAAAATACACTCAGAGAAATTAATGCTTTAACTTGTATCAGTAACTGCCCCTATTGTTTCTCTGCAAAAACTTTTCCATTATGAAGCAAACACACACGTTTACAGAGAGGCAAGGGATTACTCCATCTTCCATCTCTTGTGCACTCTGCTGCTGGTTCTCCTTCCAAGCTGTATCCCCTCTCACAGAGATATGTTACTGTACTGCCAACTGTATTGTTTTCATAAATTGCTTTCCCATTCAGCAAGGAAACTGGAATTTTGCATCTGGTCTCTGCAAAGGAAGGGGTCTTATTAATTCAGCTTGATATTTAGTCCTGGACTTCAAACATTTCCTGAATTAATAACACATTATGTTAAAAGTCACTACAGATTTATAAATCATGAAGAACATTGATTCAGTAACCCTGGGAGGGATATGTAGCCAGCCTAGAAAAGAAGCTTCTTCTGGTGATGGAGAAAAGCCCCAACAAAATGGGGAAGTGAGGGCACATTTATGACTTCAGACTGGGGCCAGTAGGGCAGAAAGATGGAAATCATTCTTTCTTGCCACTGATACGTTCTCCAGAGACCCCATATTACAGAATCATTTTTCAAAAGCAACTCAGTCTCTGGATTATATAATATCCATGCATAAGGGAGGAGTTATTGCTTATCCCATATTGAAATGTTCCAGGACATGAAACCAAACAGTTACCTTCACACAATGGCAAGGGCTTACTCCAGCTCCCATTGGCAAGACATGTGATATTCTGGGGCCCAACAAGATGGTATCCAGAGCTGCACACAAAGGTTACATTACTTCTGTATGTGCTTCCAGTAGAAATGGCCTCTGCTTTTTCAATGGAAGGATGAAGCCCACAAGTAATTTCTAGGAGAGAAGAAAACTTTTGGGTTTTATACACAATGAAGACTATTCCTTCTATGAGTCACACACCATCTGATAGCTCTGTTCTCATCCTGAATTAACAGAAAGACAGCAGGAAAGAAGCTGTGAACTGTTACATGGAGAAGAGTTATACAATTCCTTTCCCACGCTTTCTCCTGGGGTTCATACTGCAGACACCTGAAAGTGTGTCTGAATGTATTTGGTGGTGTTATAAGATATGAGGTGTGTTCAAACTGACAGAGGATCCAGAATATTTCTTCAGTGCATGACTGAGGCTGCATTTTCAGTCCCCTTTGTGCTCCTACAGTGGAAGATGATCTCAAAATGTGCTCCAGAACAATGGCAGTACTTAAGAAGAATCTTGACCCCTGTCCCACACTGTGGAGACCAAGTAAATTCATCAAAGGTGAGGGAGAAGAATGCAAGGCATAGGACTATGACACCAGCAAGAAAAGATGGAAAATTATTTTTTGCAAGGATTATAAATATTTGCATTTTATTTATAAGCCGTATGAAATAAGTCATAAATCCTTCTTCCTAAGCTCCTTCAATTAGTTATTTTCTTGATAGAGACCCAAGACTTGATCCTAGGGAGCATAGCTGTGGTATCCAGACACACTGAGTGGCCAGGATATACTTGCTTTGGCATGGCAGGGGTGAACATGTCCAAGGCTCTGCACACCATAATTCAAGGAAAGTCAGATACAGCAGGCCACATTCCTACCCTACTGGCCTCAGCATGACCCTCTCTATGTTTATGCCATTTCAATGTGCCAAAAGGAGATTGCTTCTGATCAGAGAAGTACTGCTGGCTTTTCCTCTTGCTCCTCCTCTTACAGCCCTTGCTGGAGGGAAAGACAGGGAGGAAGCCAGACAAAACACTCTCCTCCTGCCCTAGCTTTCCTGGACATCACATTGCTCTGCTTGCTACTTACGTATGCATGTAGGGGCGGAAGGGCTCCACTTTCTGTCAACGTGGCAAATCCTTCTGCTTGGCCCCTGTAGCTCAAAGCCAGGGTCACAGCTGTAAAAAACTTCACTGCCAAACAGGAACTCCTCTCCCTGAACAGATCCATTTTCTATCATGTCTGGGGGTCCACATGATATTCCTGTAATGTAAGCAATACTTTCCAATCAAACAAAATGCATATGGCTTGTTCTGTCCATAGCTCCTCCACAGGTTTTACTCTGAGAAACAGGAAAGAACACAGCAGTTACCTGGTCATTGCCAGGAATTTGCCCATGAGTAGCAGAGCAGAATCATACTTGGGGCTTCCACTTCATGCTAAAAGTAAAAAATTGATTGCGATTGTGTTGGGAGGAAGCCTCAGGAAACTGTTGCCTCCTTCAGCCAACAGCTGAAGTCCACATAAACATTTGTGTAGAAACTCCTATTTCAGCACTGCAATCAGTGACATCTCAGAGAAGTGAAGTGCCTTTGAGAATGATATCCACAGAGTTACATTGGAGGATGCTAAATATGTGTAACTCCTGGCAACTAACGTGCTCAGAGGTTCTCAGTAACCGCAGAACCCATGACCTCAAGTGTCAGACTGGAAGCTCTCTGCAGAGGAGCAAGGCAGAAAGGTGTAGAGATTTTCTTCACACTGCTACCTGCACACACCAGCAATTCTGCCCTTCCAGGTTGTTACCAGCAGTACTTACCAAAAATATTTAGGTAAATGCAGACAGTATGGGTTATAAAGCAAAATGAGCATTAGTGATTTCTGTTGTGTGATATCACCCTTGACCAACATTAAGCGATAGATTCAGGTAGAACATACTTCTGCACACTGGCACACTGCCACTCCAAAGCTTGTCTTCTTGGCAAGTCCGTTCTGCATCACCCTGTGAAACAAGACAAAATGCTCAAAGAACAACTTTGCTTTAATTAACTCTTTTCTCCCATCATCTTTAGTATCCAGAAAAGTGAGGAACTTTTTCTCCATGTGCCACCCATCCAAAGAGAAAATGAAGTGCTACAGCCAAAGTCTACTCCTAGAGTTTATGGCACAACTTTCTGCAAAATGATGGGTGTCCTTTATAAATCAAAAGTTTGTGGGGCCAGTTAGTTCTCTTGTGCTTATATCTCTGGAGAATCATCTTTTTTGGTCAGTTTTATCATTCTTGTTCCTAGGAATGTGTTGTGATGACAATTTTTCTCCTTTCAGGACTTACAGGAAATTCAACTAGCAATTTTTTCAACAACTATACAGGCTCGAGTTTGATAAACATGATGTGCTGATTTAACCACATCCCAAACACTCATTCTTTATATTTGCTATAAATTACATTATTTCTTTCTTACATACAAGTTTTATGGACAGCCTAAAAGCCTAGGATTTAATTTTTATTTTATTCTGAGACATGGAGGACAATATTTAATTATGTCCCTTGCTGTAATGTACTTTTATTACAAAGCAGACCTATCGATAAAGAGTAGATGTTTGACATGTTGTTGTATGGCATCACACCAAAAGGACTTTGCTTCCCAAAGGAAAAAAGCAGGACTCCTATAGTGGGGACACAGTTTGACACTAGGTGGCGAAACTGGATTACGAAGCTTGGAAGAGCTTATTACTGTAAAACAACACTGGTATACTGCTTCCTAGAATTATTTGAAACAGCAACTCTACCTTTTCGTCTAAATACTAGCACCTTCAACTCCAGTGCATATTTGCACTATTTGACAACATAATGAAAATTAAAGTATTTGTTACTTAAGCATTCTCCAAACTCTAATTTTAACTTGACTGAGTGAATTAACTTCTGACTGGGTGATTTTACATGCACGAAGTTATTAATTAGTTACTGGTGTTACAACAGTACAAAGGAAGTGCAATCCTGCACTCTGCTTGGCCCTCACAAAACCAGCATTTAGAGCCAACCTCTGTCCTGGAGACATCTCACCACCTCATGTCTCACTCATCACCTGGGAACAGTGGAGATCATGCTGTGCCTCAGCAACCTACTGTCATTTCTGAATTCACTGCAGCTTTTGAAAACACCCCTGAGGCAGCTCTGAACTTGGTAGCCTGAATCCTGATACTGGGAAAGCAATGCTATTTCAGAGCTCAGGTGGGGATAAAAGCTGTAATAAAAACAATGGACAGGAAAGAACTTTGATTCCTCCTCCATCAGGGAATAAAGCTGTCATTGAACAAAATGGAATATCTTTGATCTATCACTTTAATACCATCTAGCAATGTCATAGAACTGAGGGCAGTGGAGTTTATGAGGAACTTTAAGTCTGGAAGGCACAACTTTTGGCACACAGACATAATGATCGGGACACTATGAATCAGAAAAAAAAACATAGTCTAGCTCTGGCTAAGGAACCAGGTCAAGGGAGTACATGAGAAATTAACTCTTCTGTGACTTATGATCACAAGCATATGTAATGATGCATTTGCAGAGAACTTCAGTTAAGAAAACTCAAATACTGCAAGATACCTGCTGGACATATACCTCTGAACAGGATATTTGCTTCAACTATACCCTTAAACCATTCAAAGACTGTCCCAAACATAGCATGAACTGTCTACAGACAATAACAAAACCAGCAGACACCCAGCTTCCATGGTGTCAAAATGAATGAGGCAGTCCATAGCAATCACTCAGGAACTGAAAATGAGAACTTAAAGTTTAGAGTGTTGGAGATTTGAGCTTGCTTACTTGTAATTCATAGCCAGAGTCACATTTATAAAGAGACACATCTTTGAAATTGTATTTAGTGCCAACCACAAATCCATGCTCTGGAGACTCCGGAGTTCCGCACGACACAGGACTGCAGATGTCATCAGAAAATGGTGGCATCCAAACACCATTTTCCTGAAAAATAAATGTAATTAGAAATGTAAGAGCACTGCTTTATATGTGCAATCATATCTAATTGAAAAAGAAAAATCTTGGTAGGAGCATCCAGTTGCTGTGGGTATACAGATATAATATTATCTGCTCAATCCTTTATAAAACTTGGTAATTTAAGTAACATTTTCAAGATGTTAACATAGACTAGTGTTATCTTTGGCAGGAACACTTAGCTTGAGATTTAAAAGGCAGAAGGAACAAAAAAATGGGGAAAAAAAGCTTGGAAAAGCAAGTTCACTGGAGCAAGGTCACCTAACCACTCAGGGAACAACACATCAGAAGAATGAAAACTTACATCTGCCTGATTTCATGTTTTGTATTTCTCTCCTGGTTGAATGTCTAACACCATGACTGAGTGCTTCAGCAGCCTTCTCTGACTTACTGAGGGAAGTCTGATAGCTGAAGAAACACTTGTCAAAGACAACTACTCCTACTTCTACAGATATTTGAAACAGCAAAATGAGGGGAAAACATTTCATAAGAAAGACTTACTCTGCAAACCCACACATGGTCAGCTTTTCTCATACAAGTATACCGTGACTTTAAAAGTCTATTTACAAACTCAAGATGAGGCTGTCCATATCTAATGTGACAGGAGGTTACCAGTGGAACTGATTAAGATATTTGTTCTTTAACAGAGGATTCAAGTTTCTACAGGTGTACAGTGGATGTCTACTGCCTGTTATTCTAGAGATAAAGCTCTGCCTGCAATCCTCAAAATATATTAGAAATCTTGGACGTAATTTTTTTTTAAATCTCAGACATGATTTAATGCTTGGCATGTGATAAAATGAATGGTTTTCTAAAATGAATGCTTTTCTAAAGGACAGCCTTTTGATAGAAGGAGAAATAAATATTTTTAGTTCTGAAAGTCCATACATAGAAAACAAATAATTATTCTTATTGGGAAACAACTAAACATACAATATTTTTCAGAATATGCTTTGAATTTTTTAGTTGCGCCCAGTAAAGGGCCAAAAGGTAAGGAAGAGATGAGAAGCACTCCTGAATTCAAGAAGGCCAGCAGAATAAAACAGTGCTAATAAAACTATACCTTGCATATAGATGTGCTTGCTCCCACCAGAGTGTAGCCTCCTACACATGACAAAGTGATGCTTGAGTTCACAGTGAAGTTGTTCCCAAGAACGATTACATTAGTGATATTTCCTGGAAGGGGACACTTTCTGGGGCAACAGGAAATACTTTGAGGGGACCACTGTCCATCCTCCTGGCAAGTGCATATATCCACTTCTGTCGCCATTGTGTAGCCTTCCAGACATCTGCAACACAGCATGAAGACCTGACCAGAGAGACACAGCTAGGAATAACCTATAAATTAAAAAGTCAGGACAGTAACTTTTCAGCACTAGTTGTTAATAATATGTCTTGAGATTTTTCTATTACTTCAAGGTAAGCCTGTAAGAAGTATGTCTCAACTGAATTAATTCTTTTGCAAGAGCTGGAGACTTCAGACTTCATTTCCAGCTGTTTCATGCTGCTGTAGCATCACAATGGAAAATGAGTTGGTGGCTTCAGTACTCAGAGGGTAGCTTAGGAAGTTTTAGGGCAATTTCCACACTGCCCATCTCTTTGCTAGGAGGGCCTTTGGCGAGGTAAAGAGAGTGTGTGAGCACCAAGTAATTCTAAAGATGATCTCACTTTCTTCCAAGAACAAACTAAGCCTTAGCCTTGCTTAGACACCCAAGGCTGACTCAATGGTGCTTTACCAAGAACAACTCAACTGGTTTGCACTAGTGGGTTTAGTAGTGGGCAGCAAAAGTACTCCAGGAAATTAATAAAAACCCCTCAGTTTCTCATATCTGTCAAAGGAGTAACTTGCTCCAGTGCTCCAGACAGCACAGTGCTGCAGTGCAGATAATGGGAGAAGAGGGATATCAAGTCTTTTGTATTACAAGAGGCACCTGAAGCAGACGGAAACCATAAATACAATGCCAAGAGGAGAGAAGCTGCACACTGTCACCTGATAAAAAACTCTATATGTTGAAAACAGTGCTTCAGTGGAAGAGAATAAGAAAGCAAATGGAAATGGGAAATTAAACTCAGTGGAGGCATCAGCCCAACAGGCTGAAATGCCTTTCTGGAGTTGTCCTGAGTGGTCCAAATAGTATTTTATAAAGTGCATGGCAATGTGAGCTTTGTCAACCTGAGTACGTAGAAACTTGCACTAACTGAAGGTACATGAACCTTCTATCTTCTTTCCTTCAGACACTTTTAATGAAAACAGAATAGCAGTATCATCCTTACCTGTACTGGACCTTACTTCCATAGGTGTAAATGTTCCCAAGAACCTCTGCATTTGGGATAGATGGTGGTGGGCCACAGCTTAAGAGCTCACAGCTTGGGTATGGCTTCTTCCACACACCTGTCTCAACACAAGTCAGTTCTGGACCCCCCTTCATGACAAAACCTGTCAAGCAGGTATAGATGATTGTGTTCTCATCTTCAGAGCTGCTCCCATTGATAAATGTGTTGGGGATGATGGGTGGAACCCCACAGGAAATCTGTCCGCAGCGAGGAAACCCAGAACTCCATTTGCCAGCTGCCTCACAGGTGACTTCAGGAGGTCCCAGCAGTTTGAAGCCCTCCAGGCATTGAAACTGCACACTTATTCCACAGCTGAAATCTGTACCAAGAACGATCCCATTTTGAATTTGTGGTGTAGGACACACACAGGGTAGGCAAGATGGAAGGCTCCCACTCCAGGAGCCATTGGACAGGCATTGCCGTAAGGGATTGCCATGCAGCTCATAACCAGGGAAGCATATATAGTGGACAAATTCCCCAAAAGTGAAGGCTGAGCCATTCAGAAAGCCATGGGAGATGTCTTCAGGGGGTCCACAAATGACTGGTTCACAGTGTGGTGCTTCTGAGTCCCAGGTACCGTCACGCCGACAGGTAAGCGTTGATGCTCCTTGCAGGCTATAACCATCATTGCAGTGATAGTGCACTTCTTTATTAAAGCTGAAATCTGAGCCAGTAGTTCTCCCATTGGGAAGAGGCAGCGGCATAGGGCAGATCACAGCTTTGCAAACTGGAGTGATTCCACTCCAGCTTCCATTTGCAAGGCAGACTCTACTCCTGTCGCCATCTAACAGGAAACCTTCATTGCACCTATACTCTGTATGTCTCTGGAATGTGTAGTCCTCTCCAGTTACCTGACCATTCTCCAGAACCGGTGGTGGGCCGCAGGCAACAGGAATGCAGATTGGTTCACTGCCATCCCATTTCTGGCTCTCTTGGCATCTCCTCTCTGAGGGTCCATTTAACTGGTAACCAGGATCACATTCATAGTAGACAACACTCCCATATGTGTAGTTTTCCCCTCTTACCTTCCCGTTCAAAGGATGGTTAGGTGAATTGCACATTAATGCTTTGCAGTAAGGAGCAGTGTGACTCCACTGCCGACTTTGCAAACACAGCCGTGTGTCAGAGCCAACCAGTGTGAATCCTGGCCTGCAGGTGTACCTCACTGCACTGCCAAGCCTGTTCTCTGTGACGTGCAAAAAACCATTCTCTGGGGGGGATGGCAAGGTGCACTCTATTGAAACACAGGCAGGGGCAGTGCCATTCCAAGCCCCATCTTCTTGGCAAGCTAGAACAGGGTTTCCCAGCAGCTCGTAGCCAGAGTAACATGTGTATAAAATGATAGTTCCAAATAAGAAAGTGGTGAGCTGCATTGCACTGTCTTCCTTCAAGGAACTTTTGAAGTCCTTCATGTTGTCATCCAGCAACACATGTGAAAGGGAGGGGTTCTTTGTAACACTCTCCTGGTCAGGATGCCTTTCCCCATGTCTCAGCTGCACGTACTCTCCGAAGTCAATGTGAGGAGGCAGGCCACAGTCTGTCGGAAGGCAGGTTGGTGTAGAGCTAGACCACCCAGATTCTTCACAGGTCTGCATGGCAAGGCCTGACAGCTGGAAGCCTGGCACACAGCTGTAAATGACCATGGCCCCATAGCTATAATCTGCACCCTCCACAAAGCCATTCTCAATGGGTTGAGGGGGCTGGCAATTTATGGCCTTGCAAGAGGGAACCTCTGTACTCCACTCTCCCGTTTCTAGGCATCTCAGTGTTTCCTCCCCTTGGAGCTGGAAACCTCTGTCACAGAAATACCTAACTGTCTGTCCATAATGGAAATTTGTGAATGAGTATTTGCCATTGAGAATCTTCTTAGGCCTTGGGCATTGAATAGGTTTGCAAACTGGCTTTCCCCCAAGCCACTGTCCATCTTCTCCACAGAGGACAGTTGTGTTCCCTAGAAGTTCAAAACCTGGTTTACATGTGTAGAGGGCTGTGCTAAGGAAGGTGAGGCCCTGCACATCAACTATGCCGTTCTGAATTTCTTCTGGTTGAGGACACTCCACGGGAATACATTCTGGCAAAGGCAAGCTCCATGAGCCATCAGCCTGGCACCTGATGGTGGACTCACCCTTCAGCAAAAACCCATCCACACAGATGTATTTCACAGTGCTTCCAAAATGAAGGGATGAAGTCAAGGGGTCCCCAAAGGGGATATAGGGAGGTGCAGAACACTGTACAACTTTGCAGAAGGGAAAGGAATCATTCCACTGCTGGGACGGCAAGCATTTCAGTACAGAGGAGCCATGCAAAACATAACCCTCCTTGCAGGAGAACTGTACAACACCGACTTGGTAAGACACTTCTCTCAAGACCAGCTGATTTTCTGCTAGGGGTGGTTCTGGACATTTTGTTGGCACACATTTGGGGCTTTGCTTTTTGCTCCATTTCCCAGACTTTTGACATGTCCATGAAACATCTCCAATCAGCTCATAGCCTTCATCACAGAAGAACTCAACTTTGGAGCCCATATCAAAAGTTTCTCCCTTGGAGTAGCCATGCTGGATGGATGGTGGTTTTCCGCAGCTGAGGGGAGCACAGTAAGGGGGCGATTCACTGTACCACTGCCGGTTTGCTTGGCAGATAAACACTGGGCTCCCAACCATCTGGTAACCAGAGTCACACTGATAATTTGCCCGATTTTCAAAGAAGTGCCCAGTGGTATCCTGGAAAACAGTTAAGACAGAGACATGTCTGAAATGAAGACGCATGATTTGGGCAACAGGAGACTGATTTAATTTCTTGTATTCTCCTGGTCTAGCTTCTAGCTGAATCCCTGACAGCAGTAAAGGCTGTCTCAGAAGGAATGAAGGCAAGTAACTGGCACAAAATATCTTGCCTCAAATAATGCACTCTTCTTTTCAGGAAATCTGAGGCCAAAATAAAACAGAAAATTCAAGCCTTAAAAGGTAAAAGCTAGAAAAGAATTCCTGTGCTTTCTCCCTTCCTGAGCCATGAGACCAAAATAGGTGTGGAAAGGAAGATGGGAAAAAAATGGATCAGGGGAAGCTGCCATCAAATGGCCTATTATTGTCATGATTCTTTAGCTTCTGTGTGTATCTAAGGTTGGAGCCCTCAAATCTACTGCAACTAGGAGACATTTATAAATGCCACATATGCAGCTGCAGGGCCTTGAGCAGGCAGCTGAGGAGCAACTAAAAGTTGCAGTCTGGGCTTTGATTAAGGTAATAAAAATTTTTTCTAACTGTAAGGAATAGATGAGGGAGTGATCCTACCTAAGGAAGACAAAACAGAGTGATATGCATTAATTAGAAGATGCATCTGTGTGGGAGTCTGAACAGAAACTGTTGTTAGTACTGCTGGAAACCCATGTGGAACTGGAATGTCAACCTCCACCCTCCAAATTTAGCAAATGCAGATTCTCTGGTATCTGGTATCCCTGGTATCTGGTATCCTGATATCTTAAATCCCTGGATTTAAGGAAGGAAGAGGGATGCTCAGAAGAAAAATGCTTCAAAAATTCAATGTTAAATCTTTATAATAGTGGTTTTGATCTTCCTTACCACAATATTGTCCTTGTGCACCAAATGTGCAACATTGTTGCAATTTAATTTGCTAAGGAAAGTGAAGTTCTGACTTCAGTAAAGAAATGTGCTTGCATCAAAAGAAGAAAAAATATCTCAAGGTGATTTATCTATTGCATATCAGATTTTTTTATCGCAATGAAAAGAGCAAGGTTTGTGAACTGGCATCAGTTCTTCAAATCTAAGAAGGCACTTGAAAGCTACTCAAGAACCAAATAAATGAAGACTAAGACATTAAGGAAATCAGTTGAATATGTTTCCTAACTGATAAACAACTTTATGATAGGAAATCCCATGGAAATAGTCATGCTTTTCAGGTATGATTCTGATGCAAATCCACCCGCTTTTCCCCTTCCTTATCCTATCCAATCATGTACTTCATCAGTTTTAACAGAAGAGCAAAACAGAAGGAAGAAAACCCCAACAGCAACAGTTGTGAAGATATATTCAGTTTGCCATGGTACCAGGCAGATGAGAAATCACATTCTGTACCTTAATAAAGCCATTCTCAAGCTGCGGTGGCTCTCCACAGGACACTGGGTGGCATGTGGGCAAACTGCCACTCCAGTTGCCGGTGGCCTCACAGGTCCGCTTCTTCTCTCCCTTGATGTAGAACCCCTTGTTGCAGCTGTAAGCCACCACTGCTCCAAAGCTGTAGTTGGACCCACTGGCATAGCCATTGCTAATGTGGGGAGGCTCTCCACAGCGGACGGGGATGCACTGGATGCTCAGAGGAGAAGGATTCCACTGGCCCCCTCGCAGGCATTCAATCTTGGCTGAAGTGTTCAGAACGAAGCCTTCCATGCACTTGAAGCTCACAACAGAGCCAGCTGCAAACTTGGCTTTACTAATGGACTCCAGGATGCTGTATGAGACGGTGGATGGCTTTTCACAAAAATCAGCTATGCAGTGGGGCATGTCCCTGCCCTCTGGAGGCACCCATGTCCCTTCTGCATTGCAAAGCAGCTGAGAGTTATCAGCCAGGCTGTAACCATCCAAACAGAAGTAATAAGCTATATCACCAAAGAGGCGGTGGCCACTCTCTGGTGATGCATTTTCCACATGGGGTGGTTCATCACAGGATACTGCCAGGCACTGCTGGTGGCTCACACTCCACTTGCCACTGGCTAAGCACTCTATGGTTTCAGGGCCAACTAATGTGTAACTGTGGATAAGGAAACCACATAGGAAGTCAAAAATACAAGCACTGTCAAACTCTACCTAAGGTTTCCTGAAGCCCTTGCAGTATGAGCTTGTTGCTAGAACCCCAGAAAAACAGGATCTTTTAAATTAGCTATGATCAACTTCAAAAGGAAAATCCTAAAGCCTACATATCCATGAGTGAAGTATCACAAAGGTGGATATGCTAGCACACCTTGTGCACCTTACCTCTCTCTCATCTGTCTGTCCAATGACCATTTCTGAGCTTCCATTTTGGCCTCAAAGTACTACAATAAACCTAGTATTGTGCTGTAATGGTCCATGCAATCTTCAAGGAAATGATCCCACTCAGAAACTATTTCTTTTTACCAAAACTGATTGGAAAAGAAAGAGATGAAAAGCCTAGAAAGGTCTTTTGGGTTTCTGTATTAGCCCTTTCAATCTATATTCACACTTGCAAGCAAAGTGAAACCTCTTAGTGAGTTACCCAGAGGTGCTCTTACCAATAACACATATAGCAATTTTAAAATAACTTCTTCCTAAAAACTCACTGTTAAAAAATATTAGAAAGTCAATAAAAAAAATTAATGCTGACTGGAAAAAACCCAATGAAATTATTTATAATAAAATTCTACCACATTAATACTGTTAGTGTAGCTGTAGTTCTCCAGTCTGTCTCTGGGAAGCAGGGACAGGCATTAATCCATGCAGCTCATCATCCCACTTAAACCCCCGCTGCTTAAATATGCAACAGGCAGTAGTGTACTCACAGTACCTGTAACTGTTTTCTTAATTTTTTTCTCTGTAGCGTGCTCTCGCAAAGAGCAAAGAAACAATAACTATTGCAAAGTCCCCATTGACTTTCCAACTGCAGGCTGTTCAGATCTTGAAGCAACATCTGTAAAACTGTTTTGTCTTCTTTGCAGAATTTGTTTTCAAGGCCTCATGACTGGACCCCAGAAAAAGAGCCTATTATGTGCCAATGTTTAAAATAATCCACTGTCACAGGCAAAGAGCTGTGACAGTCTTTAAATGCTGCTATCCTTCCCCATTTAAAATGCTTCCACAGAAAAGAGAAGCAGCTTTTAAAATCACAATACAGTCTAGAAAACATAATAAGGATGCTTTGTGTCAATTATGTTTCAAATAACATTGCAAAGCCAATTTATAAGAAAAATGCTGGCTTGTCATTTACCATTTTACACCGAGAGAAAGCAGAAAATCCTTCAGTCACTTTGGACCTAAACTGGCAAAAGCTCTGCTTACCTGCTCTGCCTTTTAGACAGAACAGTTTCAAGAAATTTTATGCAACTGCTTATAGGCTGTAAAGATTATTGTGTGCAAAGGTTCTTGCAGGATCAGAGTCCAGCATTATACTTTCATGCTTGATGTCATCAAAACTGAGCCTCCTCTTTGATGAAAATTTCTCCACATAGAGTAGATAAAAATAAATTTAAAATAATACACCTCAATAAACAAAGAGTCTTAATTTTAAGGAAATAGAATTTAGAACACCACAGCAGACAGTTGTTAAACTGCATCAAAAGCATTCTTACACCCTGATGAGACATAAAGAATTTGCTATGATCAGAGCCTTGAATTTAACAGAGAAGTACTGGTTCTCTAGTAACTCCAAGGAAAAGGGTTTCTGATTGAATTGTGCTACCATTCCCCTGATTCCTCTCTATTCTTCTCTTCCTGAGTGTATTCAGTTCCCCTGAAACTACTTTAAGAAATGTCTCTGTCTCATACTAACCTGACACCCACAAAAAAAAATCTCCATTGCATTTAACTTCCAAAAAGTTAAGACAGAAGTAGTAAACATGAATTAGTGTGCAGTTAGAAAGGACTTATCAAACAGTGCACCAGTTTTACCCAACCTGATCCAGTAGTGCTGATCCAGTAGTGCTGATCTACATACCCTTCCTTACAGGTGTAAGAGACCGTGTTTCCAAAAGTAAAGTTATCTCCTTTGATGACTGCATCTTGGATGGCAGGAGGGGGACCACAAGACACAATGTTGCAAGCCGGTGGTGTGCTGTTCCAGCTCCCTGAAGATGCACAGACAAGTACAGAAGGTCCCTGAAGGCTGAGACACAAAGATCATTATTAAGGCATCATTTCATTCTGGGTGAGGGATGGAGAGTGAAAGAGCTGCTTTGCTTTCTGGCCCCAGTGAAACTAGGGAGTCTTTCTCACTAACTTTAGCAGAGGCCAGAATCTCATGCTTTGCTTATGGAAAACCACCCCTGATGCTATTAAAAAAGGCTGGTCTTCACATCACTTTGAAGAGCAAGCTGGTGGATTTCTTGTGAAGCCTCAAGGCTCTGTGCAGACACACACCATTTCTGCTGCAGCTTTGCCCCTCTTTCAGCACAAAAGAAATACTTGTTTAACCTTAAAAATTTACTTGTATGCCATCAACAACATGCCAGTCTTGAGACTTGCAACTAGGCCTCTGCCTAACACCTGATTCACTCAATGACTTAAAACACTATCTTCAGCCAGGACATTGAAGGAAAAGCTCCAGTTCAAGTCTGTTCACAAAAAGGCATTCAGTCCTTTCAGGAGGTAAAGGATATTGCTTGAGTGAATGGCCACACACATTTGAAGTTAATGATATTTTTTGGTTTCATTATCTGAGGAAACAGGATTGGTTCAGATGGTGTGACTCAGATGTCTGAACAGAGTGTGAAACACTTCTCTGAGACGACCCTTGTCTCCAGCTGCTATGTCAGCTGTCTGTGGGTTCCCTGTAGGGCCCACATCATATCTGAGAGCCCTACATGGGAGTGTCTGATTCCCTACAATGTGGTGTCAAATTGTATTAGACCACCATGTTTAGCTGACTGAAATAAGTTAATGGAAAAGAACACTGACCTGTAATGCTTTTACAGATTTGGTACAGGCCCTTATGAGGGAAGTAGGGCTTTGCCTACCCGTGGCAATACGTTTAAGACTAAAAACACCTAAAAGGTGCTTGAAAGAAGAGATTGGGTCCAGAAGTAATGCATAAGATGGACACTGTTTGAGAGGGCTTCCACTGGAGTGGTAACCACAGGAGAGAGGATCTCTCTCACCAAGCTATGGTAGACAGGTAAAGACAAAGAATCAAAATTGACGTGGTATTTTCTGCCTGTATGTCCAAAGTCCACAGTCAAAAAGCTCATTACACTGCCTGGTTTAGTGGGGTACAGATAAACCCACAATGCAAATCTATGACTTAACACTACACTTGACTGCAGCTGAGTTATCCATTTGTACTAACAGAATTAGAGCATTCACCAAATGAACACACTTCACCTACCTGCCTGCATCTAGACAAGGAAATGATTGTAGCAGGAAAATGTCATCCCTAAACAGGTCCATATGGGACCACTTATGTCAGAGCATATCTGCTAGAAGTACAAGCAGATATGAGGGGAGGCAGAAACCTGCATGTACAGCCACATCCTTGGATATAGCATTAATGTGTTAATTTTTAATTACAGCATGTTAAAAATATGTTTGCAGTACTATTGCTTACAAATGTAAAACAGAACAAATACTTAGAATAAATTACTAGTACAAAGAGTTAAAGGAGTAAATTAGTAACTTCCAGAAAGTTCCTTCACAAAAGGTGCTGTAAAGTAATAGCAAAAGTAATATGAACCACAGTTGTAGAGGTATAATGATATTTAAAGGCAAATGAAAACTTTCAGAAATAATAAAAAACTATGTTTCTGAATATTCAAAATATTTTTGTAAGTTTGATGGTAAAATGAAAGCATTACATATGTATATAGCAAATCCTGAGTGACTTTTCTGAACTGCTTTTCCAATTCTGTTTTAGTATTTTATTATTCTGAGCAATGATCCCAGCTTTTTTCTTTCAGATGTAAGTCAGACCTAACAAGCATGCCACCTGCATTTGGCTCAGACACATTTGTGCATTTACCTGTATCCATTGTCACAGGTGTATGATACAGAGGAAAGATAGGTTGTGCCACTGAGTGTGTACTTTCCATTGCTGATATCCTGTGGGCTAGGGCACGTCACCATTTCACAGGAGGGGGGAGCATGACTCCAAATGCCACTAGCAAGGCACAGAATTTCCTTTTCACCCACCAAGTTGTATCCATCATTGCATCTGCATTAGAAGAAAAGAAATGCTATCAAACACAGGGCCTTTTATGCACAACATAATTAGTCATCCCTTTTTTCTCATCATCCACACCTGCATAAACCATCTTTCTTTTCAGGAAATAGAGAAGTAGCACTGGAGTAAACATTCAGCTCTGCTAATGAACAGCCACTCTATAATCAAATGTCTTTCCATTATTTTAATCCCATCTTGCTCCTCTCCTTCATTTCAACCAATCTCTCAATTCAGCCATACTCTTATTTGCTGCCAGATTGTCAATCAGTTATTAATACAGCACTTCAAACATACTGAATTCCTACCTGTACACCACCTTATTATCGTATGTAAAATTTGAGCCAAAAATGGCACTGTTCTCTGGAATAACTGGATCACCACAGGATATAGCTTTAAAAAGACAGGAATACAAGAGAGGTTGATATAACACAAACAAAAATGAACAGAAAATTAGGATTTGCTTTGTTTTCTCTGAAAAGATTTGAAGAAATATAAAGCCCTAGGTAACAATGAGTTCTTGACTAATCTGTAAGTGACATTTAGGACTGTTTATCTGATTTCACCTTACTGAGAAACTGAACTAATTTGAAGTAGGCAGTTTTAACCATGCTACAAACCACATGCTTGGTTATCAAGAGGACTCCATATCTACCCCTCTCTATGGACAAAGTAATTGTTTTTTGCTCAGACAGTCTTTGTCAACTCTTCACTTTACCTGTTGCTTCATCTCATTTGTTCTGGTTTTCTAAAGAAACAATTTCTGCTATTATACCATGACTATGTACATGCATCAGCCTGTCCTTTCGGGTTGCTTTTAATCCACTGAGACGGTTAATGGTCTTTAAGTGATTAATTGCTTGAAAATGGAAAGCTGGGTGGAGAAGAATTAGAATTAGAAGAACACTTCTAATGCTTGCATTAGACTGAGTCTATACCTCTGACGCACTGGAGAATCTGCGTAAGAGAGAACCACTACAGACATGACAACTGTTCTTATGTCTTAAGAGAACAAAGACTTCAACACTGACATCCAGATCTGTTAGGACAGGGTTTCATAAGCTGCCATGGTCTCTTAACGGCTCTTCACTATTACTTTTCCCCTCCCAATCTGTCTAATGTTAAAATCACATTTCAGCATGCATTACCCCTAGGAACCAACCTTCACAATAGGGTGTTGGGTGGCTCCATTCTCCGGACTCCATGCAAGTAAGTTTCATCGCTCCTGTCAGCTGGAACCCTTCTTTGCAGGAAAATGTTACTTGACTGCCAACACTGTAAGTACCCCCATGTAAATGACCATGCTCTGGATTTCCTGGATTATGGCATTTCACAGGTTCTGAGGAGAAAGAGGGAAACTACAAATAACAAACTTATGTGTCAGGTTTTATGAATAAATTACAAGAGATATCCTTGGGAATTTGCTGAAAGTAGAAGGCAAAGCACATGGAAAACACTGAAGTAGTTTACATAAGTAGTTTACAGCCTTTTCTCTTTTATATGTTAATGACTGAAGACTCATGCAAGTAAGCTAATCTCCAAGTTTAAGGACGTGGAAGAGCCCTCTGTAACTGAGTTTACATTCCTTGTCAGAAGCAAACATATCTTACAGTAATTTCTCCCTCTGTGAGGGAGAAATTGGAAGCCCATTCCAGCAGGTCCATCCCTGAAAATGAAAACTGCTCAACTACCTTTTATGCCAACCTATGTCACTGTCTAGTTATCTTCTTCCAAAGTTACTTTGTTTAATGTTTCCACAGGTAGCTCTAGCCCTACTCAGAAGCCTGTATTAAAATGTTTCTTCACTGCGCAGCTTTGCTGTGAGAAGTGAAACACTGTGGCCTTCCCAGGTCTTGTGCTTGGCATGCAGTTAGGTTTTTGCATGTGTGTATGTCTTGGAGCAGCATCCCAGTGACAGCTGTATCCTCACGGAGAGGTGAGTTTTCAAGAAACAAAAGGAGACACTATCACAGCCCCATCCAGACTAAACCAACCTGAAGATGAAAGCATGCCTGTCATAGATATCAATTGTTGTCTCCCAACTGGAAGGCAGGATACTGGCCTATACAGAATCTCAGAAATGCTAGCTGGATGTTTTTCTTTCCCATACCTGCACATTTTTTGCCATCTCCCGTGTAAGGAGGGATGCAAGTGCAAACATAGGATCCGTTTGTGTTGAGACAAGATGCGTGCTTATCACAATCTGATCCAACAGCGCATTCATCAACATCTGCAAAAAACAAAACAAAACAAACTCACAAAACCCATGTCTCTAGTGTGTTATTTATAGCAAGCATTTGCTTTAAATTTCTGCCTTACTGTCAACAGGAATTACTTTAAGTAGTACAATTAAAAATCACTTACTGCAATCACATTTTTCATCCATTGGTAAAAATACTTAATATTTAAACAAATATTTATAACTCACTGTAAAGTTTTATTGTAATTTTAATTATAATTTACTCAGCAGTACTGCACAACATGAGAATATCAGAGATAAATGTTACTAACTTTCAGTCACTACTTCCACATAAAGTATCTGGTTTCCAAACTGCAAAAGAACAGATATTGTAACTATTGTACTACCAGTCTGTGTAGACACCCTAAGGAAGGATTTTAGCATTAAACTCTTGCTTGGGAAATCCTCTTGATCTCAACATTCCTACTAAGAAGACAGGAATATTTAGTCAAGAGGATAAACACTCTGAAAATATAAGAGCCCCATCTTTGGTGAAGATAATTAGACTAGGCCCAAAAAGAGCATGCAGTTGCCAGAAGAGTTAAAAATAAATCAAAATATATTAGTTATTATAATTAACTATTTACATGATAGTAGCACCTAGAAATCCCAACTGATAATTTATGATCCGTGTAGTTTGATGCTATGCTGCAAAAACAAAATAAAAAAAAAAATCCCTCACTCCAGAATACTTCATAAAATCTTTTAATCTTGACAAGGATTAAGTAAGGAAACATCCTTGGTATTAAAACAATGAATCAAAATTGCAAAAAATCAATTTCAAAGTATCTAATTGAAAAGTGCTGGCATCAGGGATTATTCTCAGGGATTATTCTTCTCTATAAAAATGCTTGTTTCATACTGTTAGAGAGAGGTAGAACAATTCTTGATCTAAATGCCCTGCTACAGGACCCCTGTTGATCAAGGTATGCCATGCAGACACACAATTTGGGTTCTTTGCCCATTTCCAGTAAAAAATCACAGGTTAAAAAAGCAAGAAAATTTACTGAATTGGAGGGTTATTCTTCACTACTGGATGAGTCTGATCAGCATGAAAGGACCACAACACATTGAAAAGAAAAGGAGTTTTTTTCTGATATGCAGCATGACAGCTGCACTGTAATACCAAGACAGTTGCCAATTACACAAGTACCAGGGGAATGCAAAGTGCTGCCACAGCAGAACTGGAATGACTGCTTCTTCTGTAATGTCTTGTTAGGCAAGAGACTTCCAGTGGGGTGGAACTACATGGTGAATCAGACCCTAACAGAACAAAAGGAATGCTTCAGGGCATAGGTGTGCCAGGATTTGTTAGCACCTCCCTGTAGCATGAGTCAGAAAGGTAAATGGTGGGTCAGGGTGCCAAATCCACTCTTGTTTTCATTTTCCCATAACGTAGCTTTAGGAGAGACAAGGCAAGCTGGAAGGTGGGGCGCAGGCTTTTTCCTTCTGAACGTTGTGACTCCTACAGCATGGAAGTTGAACTATTTGGACAGCCTTGACGTACCTGGGATGATGTTTGTAGATTCTGAGGAAGTGCTGCTGGACAGGATGCTACAAAACTAGACGGATCCTACTCAAAAGTGAATTTTGGCAGAACTAAAAGACTTTGGTAATTTCTTTTGCTTGTCTTGACTGAAAAAAATATGTGCTATACCTACAAAGAATTAGGAGTCAAACACAAATCTTGCCAGTTTTTTACCATGCAATTCCCATGGCTAAGATCCAGCACAACCAGATGCAGCAATCCAAGTACAGCTAGGTAGTGGACTCCAGCAGGGGAATGCTGGAGACATGGCCCTGCAAGACTAGTGACACCTAGTCCTCGGTACACAGTCCAATGCCGGCCTCTCACACCTTTCAGCTTGTGCCACTGCACCTGGCACATCAGACCCAAGTGAACAGCAAGTAAGTTAAGGTGTGGCAACTGTATGAACTGCGGTCACAAGTGTACTCCCAGTGCTCTCAAAGCTGCAGCTGCTTGCTGGCAGGCATATCTGACCCACCAAAAAAACCCCACAACAGAAAAAGGCTCAGAGAACACTGGCAGAGGTGATCTGCCCATTAAGTTAGGGACTAAGGAGACAGCAAGGTGGCCTTTTGTTCAGGTAAACATCAACTAACAGTTGAGTGGATCAACTGACAGTGTAAATGCTTCTCCTTGAGCTCATTAAAGAGTGTGAATGTCTTCTGAGTTAGCCAGACCAGCATAGAGGAGTGGAAATGAACACATGGTCAACAAGAGGTATAAATGTCAGATACCAATGGGCTTGAGCTGTCCTCACACATTCATTCCCAGCTACTGGGCATGTGCAAGGTCATGAGGGTGAACATATTACAGAGCTTGATAATGCAAAACGCACTGGAATTATACCTAAACTGTGTATTACAATTGCTGTATTTTGTTAAGTAACTTGAATTTGTTTCTCTCGTGCTATGCAGTCCATTTTGTATCACTCGGCTTGATTGAAAATCCTGTGCAGCATCTGCTGTCCTCAGGTCAGTAAATCTGATATTAAATACACAATGTCCATGTGTGAAATATTTAAAAGAACCTGGTCAGAGAGCATGAAACACTGATAGCATGCTGGAGAGCAACAAAATGCACAGGTCAGAAGCACAGAATGCAAGGATTGCAGGAGAAAGGTTGGGAGTGCAATGCAGGCCTATATAATTTTATATATGTTTGATAAAAGCAGGATGTGGGGCATACAAGAGGATGGACAGAAAAAGGTGACAGAATGTGGTTTGGTTTCACGTAAGGCTGAGCATGTTATTTCAGAAAAGTGAATATTTTGGACTGTGGGATTATGGTTAGCCTCCATAATTTCAGAATCAATGTCTGCTCAAACCTAAGGGCACAGGAGAAGTGTGAGATTGTCAGTGCATGCAGCCAAATGTATGGCACATCTTACCAAGGCATGATGGTGAAATGCTGTTCCAGCTTCCATTGTCCAGGCAGAGCATCCTGGAGTCACCCAACAAATAGTAGCCACTGTTACAGTGATAGGTAATAGTACTGCCAGCAAAAAAGTCCTCAGCTGAATAATATCCATTTTCTAAAGTTGGAGGCACTCCACAGCTGATTCCTGCAAGGTGGGTGAAAAGAGGGCACAGGCATTAGCAGAGCAAACACAAATCATCTTCAGAATAATTCCACATGAGAGCCATTACCACATGTTTTTCTCTGCAGCTGTACAATCCCATTAGCAAGAGGGCCCAGTCCTTTTCTGAAGTAGCTAATCAATTCCAGGTCTAGCAGAGGGTCTTGTTTTCTGGGCATTTTTCAATAAGAGTCTTAGCAGGACTTTCCAGCTCTTACTAAGAAAATTTTGCTAGCTCTTGAGGACACATCTGTGGCTGAGATCTGAGCAGATGCCCTTCAGTCACAGAACACTTCTGATAAGAAATAATCCTTGGTGAGTTATAAAGAAAAAAGAAAACTGAGTTTGCCTTGTTGTTGTTACTTCCCTTTGCTGAAAATCAAGCTCAGGATTGTTGTGTTTAAACACTGCAGAAGTAGCCAACAGAGACTGCTAAGAGTTACAGTCCTGGCCTGAGATGAGGGAGTGCATGAATGACGGAGAGACTGGAGCTGACTTCACATACAAACCTGGGCATGCCTTAGATTGACTAGAGTAAATAATCCCATCTGATCCCAGTTGTGACAGCAGAAATCATCCCTGTACCTGCCTACCAGAGGTTTTTATTTATTCTAGCAGAGTTTCTCCTGTGCATCTTTAACTCAATCAAAAAGGCTTAACTTATTCCAACAGCTAAACACAGCTCATCATTGTAGATACACGGGTTACAGCAAGTCCTAGTCCCCTAGCTGTGTGCAAGGATCATGCAACAAGAATTTAAAGCCTATAGTTATGGAAGCCAAGTACTTGCTGGGAAGGAATAGAGCTGGAGAGTTTGTAACAATCAGGCTCTCAGGCACCTGTGGTTTTGGGGGTATTTAGCACCAAGAAGAGGAAAAGGATTCTGGTGGGTGAAGACAGTGATTACACTGAGCCTGATTCAGTCAGTACTTTTTCAGGCCGACACCATTAGTATAGCCTGTAGTTCATTATGCAGAAAATAGGCATCTTCAAGTAACTTTCATTCATCAGGTCCTTGTGGAACAGGTACCTTAAAAGCCAGTGGGCAAGTCTAGTCTTCATCTACTCAGCCTGTTAGTGGCAGGTCAGCCCTCTTCTGTCTCAGTTCTGTGCTCAGCAGGTAAAACTGCTTGGCCCAATGCAGAGAAAACAGAAACACTAACAGGATTCTGGTGGTGGTCACAGCTCACACACCAAGAAAGTGCAAAGCTGTTTCTGCCAGTGAGCTTTCCTTCTGCCCAGCAGAACTTGCTTTTGGGTAAATCCTCATGGGCATGCTCTTGTTTACACAGAAGATGAGACTTTTGCTACAAATTACTGAATAAAGAATAAAGAGGAAGACATTAAAATTTAGATCTAACTATTTTAAAGGCATTTTTAACAAATTTGATGATTTCCTCCAAACTACATATAAATTCTAGGATTATGCAATATCTGCTTCTGGAGCTAATTTACTATTCTGCTGAAATGAAAAATGTAATCAGCTCCAACACAAGCAACTGCAGTCATATGTGCAGTCACAACAGAGGAGGACCAAAGGAAAGGAGAAAGCAGGAGCAGGAATCATATAACCAAAAGAAACTTGGCAGCCTGAATGCATACAGCTCACTTTGAAGAAATCCGGTAAATCTTGGAGCACTTCCAAGTCCTAACAGAAATATATGCTGCCTATAAAGAAATTAGGTCATAATTTACTCAAGTCAAGGCTTCTACTTCAAACCAGACATTCTCAGTGACATCTAAAAATTACAGAGATATTTGAGCATTTCCTGTGCATCTTCCACACTCCTAATGCCACTGGGGAGGAAAGTACGAGATTGCTGATCCAAATGGACTAATTTCTCTAACAGCCATGGATGTTAGAAACTGGCTGAAAAACATGTAAAAACATGGTTATGATACAGTTTCTGCTCAGCAAAACATGAGTTTAGTTTTAAGCATACATGTTTACGCTGTAACATGAATGGATTCAAGAGCATGACAGCTGCAAAAAAGCCCAGGCCATGAATAGTGATAGGATCCAAATAAACACCAGAGTTTCCTAATCCTGCCAGCTCACTGAGACAACTCACTTTCACATCGGGGAAAAGGCCGTGTCCACTGTCCCAGGTTAAGGCAGTGTTGAACAGAGTTTCCCACTATCTGGAATCCTGGGTCACAGGAAAGGCTCACTTTTGACCCTGGCTTTAAATCAGCAGAAGAGGCCCGCAGATGAGGTATAAATCCTTGCAAAGATGGACAATCTGTGAAAAGAATATATGCATTCAGTAAGAGGTACAGCTACATGCTGAAATGAACAAACTGGTTATGTGTTTGTTTGATCCCGTATAAGTTTACCCAGGAAAAAGCTTTCAGAAATGTTATGCATGCTACATCCCATGGGTCCAAAGGGTTTTGAGAATCATCAACATATAAAAACAGAAAAGGAATCTACAGAAAAAGAAGCGAGGAGGCAGCAGGTATTTTAATACTATACAAGAATTATTAGAATACAAGGCAGGAATTTTTTTTTTCTGATCCACTACCATCTTCACTCTTTTCCCATCTCAATTCAGGAAGCAATAAATTTTTGTCATAGATTTCAATGAACTTTTGTTACAAAACCCTGGAATTTGAAGAATGAAGGACTGCATGTTCTAACTGTCAAATTATCAAAATAATTTATTCAAGGTTAGTAGAGCAAAGGCTGCAAGTTTGCTAGTTGACCCCATAAAAGAGTCTTATAGTGTTGCTCAGAAAAAAATGGGTTCTAGGAAGTAAAGTTCTAACCAGCACAAAATATACTCTTGTAATCTATCTTCACTCTTCCAACAACTCCTGGCAGGAAATCTGGCCAGGCTAGTACATTTCCTTTTTGCAGTTCTTCTGGACAGGATGTAGCCAGAGATTCTACCTATGGATTTAAAAAAGTTGGTTAGATGATGTTTTAGGACAATGTAGGAAAAGAATATTAAAAAAAATATTCCCTTAATGCGTGAATGCAGCACTAGAACAGATGCTTGAGGGAGTAATGCTCATCTTTTCTAGCACAAGAGGTTCCTGGCTGAAGTACTTATTATTCTGTTCTTTTAAACCATCTAGATATGGCTGAGTCACTACCTGAAGGACTACTTGACATACAGACAAGGTATTGAACACAGTTCTTGAGACACAATTGAATTTGTTAGTGTAAAAGAAGAACACATCTACGTCACAGAAAAAGACAGTAATGAGGCTGCAACCTGAAGAGAACACTTATCTATTTGCAGAAAATGTCAAATAGGAGCCAAAAGGAACTTAGTGTTCAAGATCTGTATCCTGAAAACTGCTAGCCCTGCACCATGTAAAAGGGACAGAAATACAAAAAGGAGAAGCTTAATAAGGCAATTAGTTGTTTCCAGAACACAAGTTTTGTGAACTGAATTAACTAGACTCTGTACAACACTGTAGGCAAGGCCCAACCAAAGTGGGATGGGGACATAAATAATGGAGTATAGAAACAGGAACTATATAGGTCAGCTAAGTACAGGAGAAACAAAGGAACACACTATTAGACCAACAGCAGATTGGTATCCTGAAAGAAGATCTGGTCATATGTCTCGGATAGAAAAGTTTTCTCAGATGGGTGATAGCCTTCTGTCCAGTTTCCAGCAGATAAATTCAACCAAGAATAATATTCTACAGTGTCTGTCCTTGTGAGATGGAAAGGTACATGATGAACTTTGGAGTGATTTGTTCTCATATTGTCCCTACTCTGAAGCAATTGAGGCAGATTGGACTTTTAGCAGTCAGTTATACTTTTATACAGTCAGTATAGCTGGAGAAGGAAGCAACATTCTCTGTTTATTCTGAGGCCATTTCAAAGTTCTCATTTCAGCAATCTGTGCCAATGGAAACTGCTTAGGCCAAAGGCTGCAAACAAATTGCAAGGGATCTGCATGAAAAAATTTCCAATGTAGGAAAAACAAGTTTGGGAATCAGCGCTTCCAAGCCATATGATGGAGAATGGAGGGCCAGAAAGGACCTCACAGTTCCCTACACACAACTCATATTTCTGTTGCTGCCTATTCAACAACAAAGCTACCAGAGTGACAGTTTACCTATACAAAATTAATGTGCAAGTGAATAAATAACTAAAGCATGTAAGTAAAATCTTAAAGACTAGATTCTACCATCCTTTATTCACTAAGCAACCTATTCTGTCACCCTGCTTTCCTTTATGGCTGAGAATAGAAAGTTAAGACTTAATGAATAGTTCCAGCTGGCCAGAACAAACCTAATGATTACAGATTACAATAGCACTTTACTATTCCAAGCTCTGAAATAAATGAGGTAAAAATTGTATAGGAAGCTTGACTCAGCTTCCTGTCTGGTGTTACATCTGTCTTTTCAGATGAGCAACATGGATACTATAAATGAACAGCAGGATTTTCTTCCTTGTCCTAACTGCTGCATCTGAAGCAAGTGGGAATTCAATCAGACCTGTCATTGAAACAGGGGCAACTACTGAGAAAGTTTCAGAAAGTTGCACTTAAAACTCTTTACCAGTGTGCCCTGTAAAATCACATGTACGCTTATCAGCTTCAAAACTGCAAGTGAACAAAAACTTGAAGATCTGATTGGCAATGCAAGAGTTGGTGACCCTAAAAGTCAAGAACTGTTGCAGATAGTGGGGTAGTTTTTAACCCGTCAGAGAGGCAAAGTAGTAAAAATACAGAGAAATAAACGGAGGAGACATATGGATGCTGGAAGAAAAGATTCTGCTTTACTTTTTTTCCTATTCATGCTATTATTTCTTATTTGGGTCAGAGATAACAAACAGCTATAAACCATCAATTAGTGATGCAAATTTAAGAAAAATCAGGAAAAGAGCAAAACTTTGTAATCCAAAGATTCTTCCTCAAAGAAATTTCTCTAAGATTAAACATTTGTCTTTGTTGTTCAAGTGTTATCAACAGTTTAGCACTTCTGACCTTCAGGATTGAAATAGTAATGAGCAGGAAGCAGTGATGGAGCACTGTCCTCAGGTTTGCAGATAATATCAGGCTGGTGATAATATCACCAATCAGTGTGCTCAAGGACAGAGTTGCATGCATAGGCACTTTGACAGGCTGGAGTAAAGATAAACTTCAAAAACTCAACAAGGAAAAATGGCAAGGAAAAAAATTCTGAACAATATAGGTGAGGAGAGCCAAGACCAATAAAAGAACTCTGTGGAAAAGAACTTAGGGATTCTGGCAGGCAGTGAGCTGAGCACTGGCCAGCTGTGCACTGTGCAAATATTGGGAACCAACAGCATCCTTGGCTGTGTGAATAGGGTTACCATCAGAAAACCAAGGAAGTGATTATTCATTCTCAGTGCTTATTAGATCACATCTGAAGTACTGCATTCCATTTTGGGTAATTCACAGCAAGAAAGACACTGACAAGCTGGAGCAAGCTCAGAGATGGGATGGAACATTTCCCCTGGGAGGAGAGCTTGGTTCAGCCTAGAGCAGAAGCGGCTATGGGGACATCTCTCAGCAGCCCTGTGTGTATTGGGAGATGATCAGGTACAGACAGGCTTGTACAGCAGTGCATGGTGGAAGACACAAGCAGTAGTCATAAATGGAAGTGGGAGGTTCCAACTAGGCATGGAGAAAAAAATTCCACTTGAGGATAACTGAGCACTGAAGCTTGGCTCCCAGAAAAGTTGAGGGATTACTGTCCTTGCAGACATCTTTCAGTCTTTATTAATTTTTAACTCAGTGGAAATTTGGTGCTGCCAAGCTTTTATTTTAGGTAGCTGAGTAGGTGTAATTCCATATTAAGTTATCCTGCCCTTTCAGACTTTTTCTGGAACTATAAAGCTCAGATTTTTCAGTGTCTAATGCATTGACTGAAATTGTGATGTCTCCCCTCTGAAGTTTTAACAGCAGAATGAGGAAACTGTATGTAGTCTGTAAAACAAGCACTTTACTTATTCCACTGAATTCCTCTCTCTTCTAGCAGTACTGTTAATTTTTATGCATGATTTCCTTCCTATTTTGAAGCCACATACTACAGAAAGGCTCAATCAAAACAGAAGGTGACTCAGTGTTGATTTTACCAGGCTTAGTTCTGCTTAAAGCCACTTTACTAACTACATTAAGCTTATTACCCTAAGCCAGAACTCCATCTGATCCCACTGACTTCCGTGGGAGTAGGGGTGTCCCCAGTATGCTGACCTAGAGTGCCTTCTCAAATGTTCATCCTAGGTTCAGAGCTCTCTGCTCAAACACTGCACTCAGGACTTACCTGCTGTGGAGAAAGTACATAGTCCCAAATGTTGAGCTGGCTGATGGAGCCCACAAAAGATTCAGCTGGGTTGAATCCTTCTCCTTTTTGATCTTGCTCTTGACCCAGCACAAGTGCACCGCCACCTAAACTCAGAATTTGAAGAGGGGTAGGAAACAAAGCCTTACAGCAGGGATCCCATAAGAAGATTAAAAACTAAACAAAACAAAAATTTTTGCTGCCCTATGTTACTTGGATTTTGCAGTGAAGACCAGCCACTTTCAAACTCTCTCAGCAAAACCTCTTGGAAGACTTATGTTAGACTGAGATAGGTCAACCTAGCAACTTGAAAGTGACTGTCAAACTCACATGGGAGCAGAAATCACCTATGGCTGCTTCAGGAATGATATTGGCTCAATGAGATCACTTATAGGTCAGTATTTGAAGCATAACACACAGCAATGCAAAATACAGTTTTGAGCAGGTGGGGCCCATTTTACAATACCAACTTACAGTTCCTGCTTCAAACAAAATCATACAAACTCATACAGATCAAATGTGATTCTATACCTCCCTTGTGTGCCATGTCTCACAGCATTAACTACCCTCAGTGTGGGAGTATGATTCCATACTCCCACACTGTGGGTAGTTAATGCTCTGGGACATGGCACACAAGTTATATTTATTCACCTTGTCCATTAACATGTGAACATGCATCTTCTACAACCTAGGGTATGTGGACAAGGTCAAAAAGTAATGGAGACAGCACACTACGGTCTTATCTCTGGAGAGAACTCCAATTTAAGTGGGAAAGACAGGGGCAAATGCAAGGGTCATGGACTAAAATGCTTTAGTACTGTATTTTTTATTTTAATGAAATAGTATTTTGAAATTCTATGTAAATTTGGATGGTGGCAGTACGCAAACAGTACCAAAACAAAACCTCTTTGCAGCCAAATGATACCAAGCTTTTCATAGCTCTTTAATGCTGAAGATACTATTTTTTGTGCCCTCTGATCTTATACTATAGATAACTGATCACAGGAAACAATGAAATAGCAAACTTCACTTGTTAGAAAAAAATACAAACATAACTTCAAATATATGCCTGAAAAGAACAGGAAAAGGCTAAGTCAATAAACGCTGAACACACGACACATATGTAAGGGAAATGCCTGATAAACTTTATTCTGTTGAGTTAGACACTTTCACAAAGCCATTCCAGAACCAGCCCTGCACAGGTTCCTTTGTGGACTAAACTGTGATGTCCATAAAACAAGCTACCTACCAATATACCTCAGAAATGTGCATTTTGTCTTCAGTGATGCTGAGTGGGTGGAACTGTCCTCACAAAATAAGAATAGCAAACATGAGCTTTTCAGAAATGCTGAACATGTGCATATATCCTAAAAACACCAAAACATTTCCTTGCATATTCTGAATAAAAACAGAACAAAGGCAACCAAATGTGGTATAATATAAATAAAGCATACCAGGGATTTTTGATCCGACAGAGAGCCCGCTGCCTCCATCAGACAGTTTTCCATCGATGTACACCTTCCACGCCCCATCCCTGCATGTCCACGTCACTGCAATGTGGTGCCAGTTACCATCGTTCACTGAAGGACAGTCTGTTATCTTCTCTTTCCCATTCACATAAAGAACCCAGCTGCAGGGAAGACACAGCATACTCAGCTGCATGCAGCTACCTTAAAAGCATGGTCTGTCTCCCATGACTCAAAGAAATGTTATTTGGCTAATAAGATAACAGGCATGTAATAACTATCATGTGAGAAATCTCTCTTGAAAGATCATCACAGAGCACTTGGAAGTTGGCTATCATATGCAAAGCATGGTGAAATGAGTGACATGCTTTTGTAACAAAATATGAAGGCTCAAGTCATGGCTGCATAGTGGATTCTTAAATTTTTCTGTTGAGTCACACTGGAAGTCACACTGCTTTTGCAAAAGTGCAAGTCATATTCTGTGTTTAGAATCATGCGAGAAGTACTTTGCTGAGCTCCATTTGTTCCCCTCATTGTCTCAATAAGCCATTAAGAAAAGATGTGAATATAGTACAGAAAAAAAAAATGTTGTCTAAACTCACAGCTCTCTTGCCATTACTCTTCTATAGAGCAAAAAGTGATGGGAACAAAGCAAGAAGAAAATAAAAACAAAGAGACAACTCTGTCAAGGGAGTTTGGATGCAGATTTTTCTACCCCAAAGTAGGCAAAGCTTACATTCAAACTTCTGTTCTACACTTCCTTTATCAATCCAAGACATCTGTAAGCTATAGAAAAGCAAAACTGTGATTTACCCATTGTAATCAGTCAGAAGAAATGCATTATCACTTCCATTTTCTACTGCATAAGAAATGGGAGTCCCATAGTTTGTGGTGTCAGTGGATTTCATCCAGAATGTACAGGTGATGTCACCAAGAGATGGTAAAATACCATCAAGCATGACATATCCATAGATACCAGAGACTTCAAAATCAAGATTGAAACCAGAGGACTGTTCTGCAATGAAGACAAAGAGTATTCAGAACAATAGTCACACAAACATGGAAAGAGAATCCAATGAAATCCAAGCAAATGCAATAAAGTGGATTGAAGTCCTGCACAAAAAATATTCACTAATTTGAATAGAGATAGAAAGAACTTTTGGTAGTGTAACATCAGCCAGCATACAGAGCTTTCCAAGGCTAAAATATAGTGCTTGAAGACAAATATCCAGAAGACACTGTTTATCTAGCAATAACATGAACTGAATCACTGACCTGACATATCCATCTACCATCTACCATCCAACAACATAAAGAAGTATAATCACCTTGTTCCATTTAATCAAGTTTTGAAGAAAAAACCCAAAACAACTCAAGATTTTTCCTGTTCTGGACTTACTGAAATACACTGCCTGGTATGGGACAGCACTTCTGTGCTACTGTTCAATGCACAGTGACATGCTTTACAAGGATGCTACATGTAATGTTATATAGTGGAGCTCTCCTGAAAGGTGGGTGTTAAACTCTGACATAGGATGGCAGGTGTAAATGTCTTCTACTGTCTTTGGGAAATCAACATGGCTTCTGTTTAAAGATTCACTGGCTACTTTATAATTTTCGGGGAAAGGGATTTGAGCCTTGTGATCTCCAGTATCCCCCAGGAAGTTGTGCTATGGGTGTGACCCATGCCACCTGTCCACAGCAAACTTGATACTCTTTTGCCTGTAGGGAACTTGATGCCTTTAGGACTTCTGAAGCTAAGACTACCCCTTACTAATCTCCAGCCCTGTGATACAAGGCTCGACACAAAATACAAGAAACAGAAAGATCTACTTAACCCAGATAAACAGAGCAAATACAAATTAAACTCAATAGACCTATGGGGTATTAAAAAGCTAGAACCATGCCTTAGAAAAGAGAAATGACTCAGACACATGCTGTTACTTGTCTGCAATTACACTTATTAATGCTGCAGTCACACACTCATCCTCTCACAGTCCCACCATCCTAGCTACTTTCTGAGGAAGCTGTATGAAATCAGCCCAGCCAGTGAAAATCTTGCACAGAGACTTAGTCAAGCCACCTTTTTCTGAGACTTAGTCCTGTGTACCTGTTTCACACCTGCTGCCTGTAAAGCCAGGGGGACATTTACAAACGTACGAGTTCAAGGCATCCACACACGTGGCTTGGTTTAAGCAGGGACTGGAGGCACAGTCATTGATGTTCACTTCACAGTTCTGTCCTGTGTACCCTGTCACACACAGACACCTATGGAGGAAGAGAAGCACACTTCAAAGGTGACAGCCATCACAACAAAGAGTTCTGGCTATGAGGCCAGATCTGCCAATGAGAACAGTATATAACGATACTAAGAAAAAAAAACAAACAACAGATTATATACTACAGAATTAATGGAATTTTATTTTGGTCATTCCTCTTAAGCATGCATAATAAGCATGCTTAAGAGGTCATTTCTGTTAAGCATGCCCTCTCTTAGCTGCATAATAACACGTCTAGACAGGGACAATACAATATTTAAAGAGCCTGCATTTTTTATATGAAATAATGAGACATAACCATTACACTTCCACAAGTAAAACATACCTCTTACATACACAGAATTAATGATGAGAGGTATTCAATTTTTCAGATAGTCACCTTTATATATAGGAAAAACCAAGCCAGTATAAAACTGGAAATACTTGGAAAACCAAAACTGATACTTGGAAAAACAAAACTGATACTTAAAAAACCAAGGTGCTTGAAAGGCATTAAAACTTCTGGGGCTTTTGGGAGGGAAAAGACTAAACTAAACACAGATGTTAATAGCTGGCCCATCTACCTATACAGTGATCTAGGATATGACACTTCTGATGGCATTTGTAGCTTCTGATCTGAGTTCAGATACCCTAAATCATAAAATTAAATAGCTGGAGGTTTCCACGGGGGTTTGTATTTTAACCTCTATTGGCTCAGTATGTACAACTATCCCTGTCCTTCCAAGCTATAGAAATGTAGTATTAACAGGTACATAATTGGTCATCATGTATTATTCCAACAGAAAGCAAGATAAGCCCCTGAAATTTGGAAAAATGGACATCTTTTGGAAGATCAGTATTAAAACCATGCAGTCCTACCATGCTTACATTTCAAACTCTGCATATTTTCTTTGCTGTTTTCCTTGGAATTTTTAAGAGTCAAGACACTAGGATATATTTTCTTGTCTTTTAAGATCTCCTTCTTCATAAAGGGACCACTTATTTTGGATCAGGCTGCCAAAATATGCTTGTTGAAATCTGAGAAGACTGAGGCACCTCAACATGTCTGACTTTCCACATTATATTACATCAATCATCTGTTTTTCACCTGAAGCTGTTGATACCATCTCTGCATGTAGCTCCATTCCTACAGGGTCTGCTGAGACACTCATCAATGTTTCTTTCACACAAGACACCAGTAAAACCTGGGAGACATTTGCAGGAGAAACTTCCAACTCGATCTTCACAAACAGCCCTATTAAGGCAGGGGTTGGAAAGGCATTCGTTCATCTCCCTTTCACAGTGATCACCTGAGGGGGAAAAGAAACCAACAAAGTAACAGCTCTGGATTGAATTAACCTAAGAAAAAAGATTATTAACCCATCTCCTTTTTTTAAAGGATGTAGCTGATCTTCTGAGAAAAAGCAAACATCAGAGTAACCATGCAGGTTTGGAATTTACTCCATTAACAGAGGTTAAGTAAACACAGAAGAATTATGGGAACCATGTTAACAGTTACAGAAATAACTGTAGCAAACTGTCAAATTTAAATGTGACTAATTTGGGGTGAACCAGGAAATCACCTGAAAAACTATTCTGAGCAAGTAATGAAAACCTGCTATAAAAGACATTTGGCTGAAACCTAACTCTAAGGAGAGATGTGAAAGCCAGAAACATGTGACTCTGTGATTTATGATGTGAAAAAGGCCCTATGTCACAAGCACTGAAACTGCATGTGATTTTATAGTGGAGCTTTTTGGCAACATGATAATCAACAGCTATGTGTATTTGTTATAGAAATCTGTAAAAGCAGACTATGGGATTGGGGAGTAGCTTTAATATAGACCATTTTGTCTACTGTTATAATATTTTTATTTTTAAATAAAATTAAAATCAACAACTTGAACCCATTAAAATGATGTTGTTAGTTCCTTAACATCACACAGCAAGTTCATTGCAAAATTAGTAATTGAAGATCTAGCACTTAGAAAATCCTTCTGAAGTCACATTTACACTGCGGAGAGTCTGAGAGACTAGATGGACCTAAGGAACATCCATAACTTACATTCATATCACCATGTAATATATATATTGCTATATAGCAGTGGGATGGAAATACTTTGGGTAGGGTAGGAAGACACATTTTTTGGTCAGAAAGAGTAAAAGCTGGCTTAAAGAGAACAATGTGTACCTGTGAACCCTTCTGCACACGTGCAACGGTAGCCATTCTTGCCATCAACACAGTGGGCTCCATTTAAACATGGACTGGAGCTACATTCATTTATGTCCTCCTCGCACAAGAGACCTTTGAACATGCAGGATTACAAGGCATGATCAAGACACAGTGACAGACTGTATGCTGCAGTGACTGGATGTAGACAACAGAACAAAACCACACCACAAGCATGACAAAGGTTACCGAGAGCAGGTGACAAAATTGCGTGATTGACTGTACTACTGAAACACTCCAAAGATAATCTGTGTTATTTAGATGTTGGGATCAATATGCAAAGTCCACTGTGAATCTTTATAATGTTTAAAAATCCATCTAGCTACTGCTAATGTTGACAAATGTATAGTCATAAATACGAATGGTGGGGGAGACCATTTCTGATGGAAAACACAGCACCTTATTTTTGATCACACAAAATCAACCCCTCAGTAGTTTATTCCATACTTAGAAATCAGGTGCTGTTTTGGCCAGCTATTAGAGTGTGTTAGTGTCCCTGCAAATTTCAATACCTTCAATGTGCATGAGAAAGAATATAATCAAAAGTCCACTCACTTATTCCTAAGGCTGCAGTAAAGGAACCGCATAATTGCTGTGTCTATCTCACAAGCACCTCCCCTGTTAGTATTTACTAATTCCCTAACCCTTATTCCTCTTTTCAGACCAGAAATGTCACAAAGGAGAAGGGTACATACACACACACAGACACACACACTCCCACACCCTGTCCTTGGATGCTTGCCCTTGTATTTCAAAACCTATTCACATATAGTAGAACCTTACTCTAAGCTGTAGATCATATTGTTTTCCTGTTATAATTGGATGTGGAATGACACAGCATTTGTGCTTTGTGTTACTTACTTGGCACAGAAACCAAGCCTGTCTGAAGAAAAGCTATGAAGTGAAACAAATTACCTGAATAGCCTGGTTGGCAGTGGCAAACAAAGGTCCCAATGCCGTCTTTGCATATTCCATTGTTTTGACAAGGAGATGATTTACACTCGTCAACTTGTGTTTCACATTTCAAGCCTAGAATGCAAAATAAAGGACTTAGAATTGGAAGCCAAAATTTAAAATTCTTCAGAAAAATGGATGCCATGACTATCTAATGTAGGAAAACATGATTAATTCCCTACATTAGCAGACATTCAGGTTTATCATCTTTTCATTAGGTTATGCTTTAACACAGACCTAAGACAAATGTTGCTAGAAAGGTGTGATGCACATTGGGGAACAGACTTCAGCTTCAGAGAGGGGCAATCAAAAGTAACTTCTTGATAACAGCTGGATTATAAGATATCTCTTTGATTTGAAGCAACTGGGTAGCTAACACTGAAGACAAGTACAGGCTCTGTACAGGTAGAACTAGCTGTCAAGACTGCAAATTTCTAGCTTTTGTTAATCATAAATATTGCCAAGTGATAGGATTTTCACATCCACCAATTCCATTAAAAGAAATCCCATTCAAAACCTTTTCTGCAAAACACAACATAATTCAGCAAGGACATGAAGAAGTATCTATTTTTTATATATTCTAAACATGTGATGCATATTGCAATTAGTTAGGCTTATGCTGAAATGCTTTGCTCCTTAAAACATTCTCATTTTAAGGGCATCATGAAGTAGTAGCTGCTTCACCTGCTTCCCAGTTTTTTACCTGTATATCCAAGTGGGCATATGCAAATATATCCACTTCCTAATTGCTTGCATGTCCCATTATTGTGGCACGGTTCCAGGAAACACTCATGAAAGACCTGCCAAAGGCACAAATGATACACTTACAGCAAAGCTGGCACACAATACTCTAGTTTTAAATCGTATACCCCACTAGTCACTCTGGAAAGGTGGGATGAAAAAGTCACCAGCTTTAGCTTCTAGCTCCTCCTCTGTATTCTCAGCATGCTAACCATTTGTGGGCTTTTTCCTACTGAAAAATACAGCAAATCTGAATATTATTTTAAAATTACATTTTACTTAACAAAATCTCAAAACTGTCTGAGCTATGATTCACAGTTTTTATTAAACTACATTTATATGCAAGTTCTCCACTTTGCATCCCTCTACATCAGCTATCGCTTCCTGCTACTGGCCATTAGGTGGTCTGGCAAGGAATTTAACCATGTGGCATTATTTCTCCTGTTCTTGCAAACCCAAATTCATCAAAGCCCTTAAGTTAATGGTCAACTAAAACCACACGAGATTAATTTGTCTCCTGTCCCTGTCTTATATAATGGTTCAGGCCAAATTTGTCATGAGTCAACTTTGCTCCTTTTTACACAATTCCAAATTCCAATTCAATCAAAGCAGTCCTGTCAAGAGTTACAGACTAGAGGTGAGAGGCTGAGGGCAAGGAGGCATCTCCAGCAAGCACTGTCACTAGACCAACTTCACTTGTATTTCAGAGAGGGTACTCACAACAGAGGGAGCTCTGCTTGTGTCCTCTCAAGTGTATCTGTGTTGCAACATGTAAACTCAAGATTTTATGTCTGAGACTTAGATGTCTGGTAGAATTTTCTGGAACTCAGCATATGGAAGTCCTCAGATGATTGAACACAGTCAACATACTTTTTCTAGATTGATTGAACCTCTTCCATGTAGTTTACTTTTCTTTTACAAATGCAATAGGTATTTAATACATCAGGTGAAGGCTGTCAACAGCTGATGCCACTTCCTCTGTTCAATGAAATTGCTTCTATTATTACAAAGAGAGTTTGAGTGCTCCCCTCTTAACCAGTGCTTTCATCTCTTCAGGAAGTAAAGGCAGCAAAAGAATTACAGTTAAAAAGGTCTTACTTGTTTACTGCTGCATGAAGTGCTTTTTCTTTCATTTGAGATAGCACTGGAAAATAACACTAAAATAACACTGTCCTTACCTGACTGCTGGCTTTATACTGCTTGCTGATATTTTCTGGGAAGGCTGGTACCATCATTATACTTTCCTCAGCTGCTGAAAAAGTAGAGCCAAAACCTAAAGAGTAAAGATATGAAAGCACTGTTAATAATGCTGTGAAACAAGGTCCCTATTCCATGGGGGCATTAAAACTGCATGTAAGTAATGTGCCTAAAGAAATGCTGAAAAAAGTGAATTTGATAAAAAGAAACTTTACAGTACCCATTACAAAAATATGTAAGGACAAACATTTCTAAAACACATACATGTATGTACACAAAAAAATATTTTGTGTCTTTTTATATGCAGTTACAGGCATGCATATACGTATTAGTGTATATTTATATATATATTTCTCTCTATAGTATATTTGTATAGTACACATAGGAAATGTACACACACACTGCTTATGTATACTCTGTTTATTGAGCCTTGGCATGCATCAGAGTTAGTCTTAAAGTCAGAAGCAACACCAGTAGGCAGAACCAGCTGAGAATTTCACTGCTTGAAAACAGAGTGCAGAGCGTAAGTTGGATGTTTTCTGTTAGGACTACTTCTGGCTATATGTTTTAGATGTTCCCCTTAATCACTTTATGCAGCAGAGATTATTTGGCTTACTTGAACAGTCGGTGATGGATCTGGCACCAATAATGGTTGTTGTTCCATAAAAGGGACAGGACAAGCAGTAGGACTTCCCCGGGTCAGGTTGATAGTAGTCTCTGGGACAAGGGTAGCAAGGTGTCAAACCTGTACGAGAGAACTCGCCTGCAAGACATGGTACTGCAAGAGGAAGGAAACCTTTTTGAGCGACCTGATCTCTTGCACATGCACTTTACTTCCCTCCACCTCTTTATTATCACTTTTTCTTCTCCTGTCATAGTGTCTTCTTAGACTTAAAAGGAACAAGATGAAATCTGCCAAGAATTTACAACTCTGGGAAATGTTAAATTAAAATCTTCTGTGAGAGGCTATGTTGCTCTCAAAGGATTATGGCAATATCTGGTAAGTATTTAATTCTACTACTTTTGCTGCTCTGGAGGCAGCTTTTAAATGGAACTTCCCTTTTGTCTTTCACACCTGTTTTTTTGTTATTGTTTGGTTGGGGTTTTTTAAAAATTTGTTTGTTTCAGTTGTTGGTTTTTTCCCCTTCAAGAAGAAATAAGGACAAAGACAAGACTTTTTTGCACCTTGAATCCTTACAGACTATTTCCCCAGGAATTCTTCTGGCAAAGCTTGCCAAAGACAATTGAGGAGAACTGCTTTGAAAAAATTACTGAGCAAACTGTGTTAGAATTCAGAACTTTTGTATAGAAAACCAGGGAGAAATTATAGTGACAATTTCCTTTCTCTTCTGTAAGGAAAAGTTTTCATTTAGGTACCCATCACATATCTCATTTTATTCCTTATTATATAAGAATCAGAAGGATTCTGATTCTTATATAATCAGAAGGAGGGGAATTGGTAACAGGAAATAACCTATCATTTTGATGGAAATATTCCTTGGTCTACACCTAACCAGAATAGGAATTCAGTTTCAGGCAGATGAATTGGATAACATTAGCTGATATTTAAACAACAATTTACACATTTTAAATATTTAGTCTAAAAAAAATTCATTACCCTTTTTGTTACAAACCTCCACAAGCTGAGACATCCACTGCACCTCTTTTTACTGTTGACGTATTTTCTGGACAAGAGATGCAATTCCTGGATCCAAATGATGGCTGATATGTTCCAAGTGGACATGTTTCACATGTTTCAAGGCCATTAGGTGAATAAGTTCCCTGCTTGCACTGAGCTATAAGGCAAAAGAGTTCAGAAAGTTTGAGCAATGTCCAACAGGAAACAGGGCTTCTGATCTCTGAAAATAATGTTGAAATCACAATACACATCACAAGGAATTTTATTTCTGGAGCACACTCTACTCTGAAGGACTTAATGGGTACAAAGAGCAAAAAAAAAGACTGTTGTGATAGGGTACTGATAGTGCAATTATGAATTATTAACAAGTGAATTCTCTGCAATCAGCCTCACAGATGACTTACTGCAACTCAGTTACTCATTGTAATCAACAAAACTAATGGCAATAAAGACAATAAAAATTAAATCAAACTAGCTATTTCCTTTTCAGAAGAAGTCATGAGCACATAGTGGTTCTGTGCTGTTCAATGCCTCAGCACTGTAGGGTAGGATGGAAAGTGGCTGGCAAGGATGACAACGGAATTATTTTAAGTGTATTAGTGTCTGAAAAATGCAATCACAGAAATGAAATACAGAAATGAAAGACAGAAATTAAACAAAGCATCAAAGGCCAACTCTTCTCAGAACCTCTGCCTGGGCATCCTGCATGGTAGAGCAGTGATGAAAACTTAGATATTTCCATATGCATTAAGGTGCAATTAGGACTGCTCCTTGTTTCACATGCTAGCTTCATTCCAGTACTTCCACCATGGGTCCAAAAGGATGTCACCAAGAATTCACAAGTGGCTGTCCCAATAAGACAGAAGTCCCTACCTTTGCACTCAGAGATGCTTCTAGAGTGTAGATACTCAGTATAGCTTCCAGATGGACAACTTTTGCATTCCAGCTGCCCTTCCTCATCTTGATAGGATCCAGTCCAGCAGCTTTCACAGGTAAGATGTTCCAGGGAGTAATAGGTACCCAAAGGGCAGTTCACTGTAATGTAATGTTGGAAACCTAAGTTTCCCTCAGAGTTGAAAAATCATACATACCTCTCTTGCCCCTGGAGTTCCCATTTACTCAAACAAAGTTTTTATGAAATGTGGCTCTGTTCCTCAGCAGGTAGGGAGATATCTGTCTGGAACACTGCAAAGATTTAATTATGCACAAGAAATGGAATCCAATAGCCACCTTAGCTACACATCACTCACAGGACTAACAGGGTTAAAAGACTGCATACCAAGCACTGTTTTCTCTGTATGGCCAAGCAAGGATATGCCTGATTTCCCCCTGGGAGTGGAATCCTGGGTACAAAGCATCCCTTTTCCACAGGCCTTGGTTAGGAATATAAACATCCTTTGGAAGTCAAACTGTGCAAAGCATTTTTGCAGTTTATTGTTATGGGAGACCACAAACACTGGACTGTGTCAAATCATAACCCTCTGCAAACATCCTCTAAAAGCTTGTTTTGCAAAAGGATTTTAAATACACATAAGAAACAAGTTATCTGGCTTACCACACATTCTCCCTCTCAGCACAGAACCAGGCCTGCAGAAAAGAAAGGCTTTCTCGGTCTCCAGTGAGTTGGTGTCAGCTACAATGAGTTCAGATGCAAACTGAAAAGAATACATAGGTTCCTTATTGAGAGTTCTATTCAGCCTGTTTGTGATCATTTCCAGAGTTTTAAGGAGCCGTCTCTGGTTTTCCAGTTCCACTGTATCATTCCTTTCATCAGGCAGTGGCACGCTAGCTGGAATATAAACAGCAAACACAAAAAACACAAAAATTTTGCAGTCAGCACTTCCGGCATACTCTGGAACTTATCAAGAGTGCAGTGCTAAAGCTTGTCAGTGGAAAGTGAAAAGGAGGCCATGTGCACAAAGCTCTCCATGACAATGAGGCTGTGATCTTTCCCTCAAGAAGAAAGTCTGTGATGAAATGGGGCTATCAAATGTGTCCAGAGAACTGCCATCTGCATCTTCACCAGGCTTCTGTGAGCTAAAGAAGTTTTATTGAATCTCTTAGAGACACAATTTAGAAGGAAGCAGAGAAGTTTGGTGTTTTGACTTGTCTCACCTGTGATGTTAAATATTAACTTGATTTTTTGGTCAGTCATTGGAACATTCAGCTTATGCCTTTTGACCCGAGCAGGTGCTGCTTTTGCAGAGGCAGAGAGATGCTTGGATAAATCTTCCCCTTGTACAGCATCAACAAAATCACCATAGGAATAATCCAGGTGGTTTGCTGTTCCCCAGCCAGCAGGTCCTGTGGGATATTAAGAAAAAAATAAAAAAGAAATCAACATCATGTGGAAAATAAGAACCCTCACTTATTTCTAAAATACAACTCCAACATAATCTGTCTGAAGCTCTGGATGACATGTGTTGGCTTTGAATCTGTACAAGTGGCCACTGTACCTGAGTTTTTACTAACGAAAAATCTTACTCCTGACTGATACCTTAGAGGTCCCGAGTCTGGTGAAATTAGTTCAAAGCTTTAAAGAACGAGTTATAATAGTCACATATTGCAATTCTTTCTCTTCATGCCTTGCATGAACCCTCACATGCACCCTCATCTGCCAACAACTTCTTCAACAATTCCACATTGCCTTTGATTCCACCTCTTGCCAACTTACAGACAGCATAGCCTCTGCCATGTCTCCACTGCATCTTCTAACAACTCCTGAACAGCTCTAACATTGTCTGGCCTCTCAGAAAAGGCATCACCCTGTCTGTGTATTACCCCCAGACTGGCATTTCTTGTTATACACAGTGAGTCAAATTCACCCTTCTCTAATGTCCTTCATCACTCTAACATGATTTCAATCAAAATATTTTCTGTACATAATCTACTTTTTCATGATTACTAAATCTAGAGGGATGTGGTCTATTTCATCGATCTAGATTATTTTTTAAAAGACATGAAGACAGAAAAAAAAAATCTGCCGATTATCTGTTAGCATCACAAATATTATGTTTTGTTTACAGTGGTAACTAGGACAAGTTAACTCCACAGTTTAATATTGTGTGTTTCACAACTAATTTTCTAAACTGCTGTCCCTTATGCCTTGAAGAGAGTTCTCTCCTGCTTCCACAGTGTAAAATTATGAGAAACTCCTGGAAAAACAACAACAAGGTTATTTTGGTAAGAGGTTGACATGAACCAGAAGAGAATAGGACACTAAATTCCATGTCTGTAAGTGTTTTTTCCACATGCCTTTACAGATTAGTTCCAGCTGTCATCAGCATTCATTCTTACCCTGATGACAACTGCAGACTGAATGTCCAGACCTGCATCATGTCTGAGCACAAACAAATGCTCTCAGAGTGAAGCATTACAAAAGGTGAGCATAAGCAGGAAGTTCTACCAGGTAACGCCACTATAAACCTGTGCAAGAGACACAGTCCTATAACAGATCCTGATGTGGATCTGCCAAAAAGCCTCCTGCTAAGGTAGGTAATGTAAGTTCTCCACTTTCAGCTTTTCTGCTCCCAGCACCCCTATGGGACTCAGAAAGGCCAAGAATAACAGCAGTACAACACGGTCACTAAGCCATTCAAAAATGGACTGAAAATTACAACATACTTACTTTGGCATGAACCAAGTGGGAACAACCACTAGGATGGTTATGGCTTTCACTCTGATATTGCAACAGTCATGGTGCAAAATCTGCCTGTGCATGCAGGAAGTATTTTCACAGCAAATAAGCCAACTTAAGCGCATACAGCTTTACACAATGAGGATTCTGTGGAGATCTGAACTGGCATCACAGATGCTCCTCACTTTCTTAACAACTTCCAAATCTATTTATTGTAGCTTTTCAGTATTTTGGTTTGAAACTATGTTTTTAAGAAGTTCCTTTTTTCTAGGCTAACCAAGCAGGTTTCTAGGACTCTGTGTGTGTGTGCTTTTTTTCCCTCCCCACCATAAGGCATCCCAGGAAATTCTACTCCACATTATATAGGAAGCAGCATTGATACAAGATATCAAAAAGTTCCACAATATTTTTATAAAACCTTTCATGCAATTGCTTATTATCTTATGAGTACCACAGTTACTTAAAAAAAAATTAATAATCTCACTAAAGACATTGTGGCAAGAATCATGCTGCTTTAAACCTGGATGGCTAAGAACCTATGGAATCAATAATTACCAATGGCAAATCCATTTTCGTAATCGTAATTATATTCCAAGCAGTGTTTCTGTGTCTGATCTTCCAATCTGCAGTCAATATCATCAACATCATTACAGAATGATGGGACCTTTCAACATAAAGAAGAATAACTTTAAGAACATAAAAACACATAGCCCTCTCCCCTGACTTACAAAAACTTCTAATTACAATGCAAAGTACTGGTTCTGTCAGCGACACTAGATTTCCCCTTTCATGTCTCTTATAACCCTGACGAGGTCTGCTGGAAGACCATGTTTTATTGATACAGCTTGGAAATAAAAAAGCAATTTACATGAGTACAATCTCTTCATTATAGGAGATCTCTTTTTTTTTTTAAGAGAAGATGTCAATTCATTACTCATACAATTAACCACTCCTGCATGCCAAATCTAAGAATACAGAATTGAATTCAGGCATTTTTCTCCCTGCCAAAGAGGACTGGAGAACTCATATCTATAAAGCACCTGTGTTTTCTCCAGCTATGTTACTTGTAATTCTGTCAGGTTTTGTAATGCTGTCACTTTTTTCTAGCTTTCAAACCTTACTTCTTCAAATTCTTGGGAATAGTAATAAGCATATTCAAAACAGCCTTTCTAAATGTTTTTCAAGACTGTTGCATTTAAATGCAAATGCTTGGATAGGTCGCTACCCACTTTTTTCTTATCTTTTACTTGCCAATAGGAATGGTCCAAGCACTGGAACCTGGTAGCACCAGGGAAAGAAACAGAAATAAAACCAATCAAGATTTCTCTACTGGAAAGGACAAACCCGAATCAGGGCAAGTGAGTAACAGACATTTATGTCCAAGTGTTAGACATTGCCTGACATGTCACCTAACTTTTCAGCCACTTGACAAGTGTTACTGACATATGTTCCAAAGCTGCAGGAGTTTGCCCATTATCTGTATGTGCTAACAATGGTTTTTTTAGTTAGTAGACAACCTTTTATTAGAATATGGGCTGTGTTCTGCAAAAACACCTGTACATGCCCAGTTTTCTCTACTGGAAAAATGATGTAGCACTAGGCCTGGACATCCACTCCTGGGATCAGAACTCAATGTTCTGCTGGTTCTGCTTCTCAGATGAGGAGAGATTTGTGGATTAACAGGGGAGATTGTGATATTGAAGTGAAGAGCAAGAGTCATGGCAAAGAAGAAAGACAGGGCCTGTTCAAATTCAATATTGTGCAGTTCTTAATGATAAGAGTGAGAACTCAGAAGCTCATGAAACCTGACCAGATCACTGCTGCTGGATTTCAGTGCCTGGAGGTACACACCAAACATGGAATGTATCCATTTGTACACGTGTGTGTTAATTTGTACTATTTGGTTATATATTATACATATCCTATACAAAATGCATTTATTTTATCACATCCAATTTTCAAAAACAGCACTGAGGGGACAATTGATTGGGGGTTTCAAAACTACACAGGTTCTCTTTGGAAGCCTACTGAAAATCTTGGATACTTGCATAAATTCTGTCCTGTACAAGTCCACATTGGACACCAAACTGAATTACATTAAAATGCCAGTGAACCATCTTTATTTTTAAAAATAGCTTGTTACCCTATGAAAAATCTCAGATTTAACTTAAAAGCTTCTGCTGTCAATTTCCTTCTAGAAAATTAGTTATTTGGAAAAAGTAACAATATTTTTCAAGAAGTATGCAAAGGGAAGGAGTATTTACTAACCTACCATTTTACCAAGTGCACTCTGAAATGCATCAGTAAAGCTGTTTAAAAGATTGTTGTCATCACATCGTGTTGCTTTGTAGAGCATTTCAAAGGATTTGAATCCATGATTTGCAAAACGATTTACTGAAAAATGTTGGAGAAATAAATTTTTATTGATCAGTGCAAGAGTTTCAGAACTAAAATCAAGACAATTTAGGCTAAAACTGAAATACAAGAAGGTAAGTGCAGTCTTTGAATCAGCAATCCAAACAGACCACTTACATCTCAGTCAATGATTTGACCCTTTGGCAGGCATGAAATTTACTAGAAAAGTTAAAAGAAATTAAAACCCAGGTAACTTTTTTACTTCAGCTTTTTCTCAATGGAAGAAAACAATGAACTGTCAACTAAACTCCATGCTGACTTCGGAGAGGAACGCCATAAATATGAAAGTCTTATTATTAATGCTGCTAGACTAAATATAAAAATTCTTGTCCAGAAATTAAGCCAAGTTCTGAAGTGTCCAAGTTACGGATTTTGAATTGGCAGCTCTGAAACATAACTCGAGTTTGTTCACAGCTGAAACACTGATTTTTATTGCTGAAACCAATAAATTGACTCTGATGGAACTGGATACAACATGGTACCAAGACTGGCTTCAAATGTAGTTCTAATACATTTATTATAAAAATGTCACTAAATGTGCAAAATTCCACCACTGAAATTTTGCATGTGTCCCTCTCAAAGAGAACACATAAGCTCTTCTAAACTGGTGGTAATTAGATATGTAAGCACAACACACACTGTGAATTTCAATCAGTAAATTGCAAAGACTGTTGTATTCCTACCAAAAAGACACTGATAGTGTTTGTTAATAAACTGTTTCAATTAACCTGTTTGTTTTGCCATCGTTGTTATTTTGTGACTCCTGGAATTGAAATTCACTGCTACTTTTGTGATTTAGACAGCTTCTGAAAAAACATATTTACAGACTTCCAAACATCATTTCACCATCTTTGCAACAATTCAGAGGCAGAGGACAGAGTATATTTGTTATATATATAAATAGAAGTCAGATTTTCTAAAATATTTTCAATTGCTTTCTCATTAAATTTAGTGTTTCATGAGTTGCAAATCCATTCTAATAACAGTAATACTTACAAGAGCAGCTAGGCCACTCTGGAGAATAAGGTGGTTTCCAGAGACCATCATCATATGCACAATAGTAGTTTTCACTTGTTCCTTCTGAAAAGCTGTAACCCTCTGCACAGTGCAATGTGCAATTAACTCCTGCTTCATCTGATGTGCATACAAAATCACCATTCACAGGCTCAAAGGAAACATCACAGGGAGAACCTATGAAAAGTACAAAGATTTATATATTGATTAATATGGTGAAATAAGTGATCCTGCATGAAAACAGCACTGATAGGATTTCCAAAAGTATCTAGTATTGACTTGATCTTGCCTCTGTTGAAGTTTGTGGAAGCATTACTTGCTATATCCATAAAGTCAGGATCAGGCTACTGCTAAATAATTCTCAAATTCTGCTCTTGCAATCAGAAAACCAGAAACATGAAGACTTAAAAAAAAGTTATACATATGAAAAACTATTCACTAAAATAATTTAAAACATCAATCTAAGTTTTCATGTAAACTTTATACAATGAATTCTAGTAAACTATATTACATCTTGAATTCTGAAATGAAACATTAAACATTCTGGACCCTCACAATAATGAATTCATCAGAATCATCTTAGGATACCCTCATGAGCTCAGTTATGATTCATGTTTCAGGCCAGCTGTGAAGGAAGTTGTGAATGTCTGTAGATACTATGTCACAAACAGTGAACACAAAAAGTCTGAGATGCTATAGACCTTGGTACAATGCCAGTTCTAAGCACGGGCTGGTTCTTGCTGAGATTTAGACCAAATCAGAGACTAGCACATTCATCTGCAACTTACCTTTCCTGAAAGCTATACCAAAATTCCTGTCCGCATGATTTTAAATTCTCTCTTCACTAACAGATATTTTTATACAGATGTCCAACTGAGACATAGAAAGTAGAAAGCAGATATAAAGTAGATTTTTCATTCTTAATATAATTTATGTGCCAGATGATTTTGTTGATTTTTAATGAGAAAGTGAACTATGGGGAAGAGATGTCTATGCAATAAACAAAATGCAGTAGTATATCTAAAGGTAAAGGCATATTCCAAAATCTAAAGAGTGTTTTATTATCTGCTGCAGTATTTGCATGTAATTAGAGAAAAATTGGCAGAAAATTCCTTTCAACTACACATTTGAAGCAAGATTCAAGTAACACCTATTAATACATTTAAATGGGTTTGCAAAAATGGTAAGTTTTACTGCTTAATGTATCATAATTTCAATGCTTTTATACCTAATTTGAATTTACAGTACCAAATTCACTGCTGTGCTGATTCAGTTGTAGATAATTTATTTGTTGGTACTGGCAAATATTTTGACTGCATTCAAGTTACCTCAATACAAAATGGGAATAACTAAATGAGGAGGTGGAGCAGTCTTGCATCCTTCATGATATTCAGTTAAAACAATGCCAGGTCTTGGCCAGAATTTGAAGACAACGCACCCTTGATGACAATGCGGATCTCACATGTCCTGTTGTTGCCAGAAGGATCCACAGCTGTGTACTGGACTGTTGTCTCTCCTTTGGGGAAGAGATCTCCAGGTGCATGACTCCTAGTGATGGTCAGTGGACCACCTAGAAGAGTTAAAAGATAACCTAAAGCATCGGTAAGGAAAAGTGTTGCTCATACCCAACTCTGACAAATGGAAAAGGAAATGGCAGCAAATCTTCCAAATTATTTAAAAATAACTAAGTAAAAGGAACCTCAGCAAATCTCAAACTCCAAGGGTCAAGAGCAAACAGCAGCTCTCTAGCCTTCCACTGTCTTGTGTATATTTTGGGGACCACTGTCTCACCTGAATTGTCTGAAAATTCTGGTTCTTCCCATGTCGCTGGGTAGTCATTCTCTGCTGCTTGCATGGGTGGTGGAGATCTGCACCTGTCAACAACAGGAGGTTCTGCATCTGCAGAATTTGAAAGGATGGCATGACATTAGCTTGCAGAACTACTGCCAGACTCAAATAGCATCTCTAACCAGAACAGCAGCTTTAATTTCATATTGGAAGATACAACAAAGGTGCATACTTGGAAGTTGCTGCAATTGGAAGATGCTGAGTGAATGGATAAGAGTAATTATTCTACTGAATTCATGGTTTCTGCAGTGTTTGCCTTCTCTGGAGCAAACCCTGGACTACTTGCAGGACAAATGAATAACACAACTGTCTGACAGAAATACTTGAATAAGGATTTGCATCAGTGCAATATGTGTGAACTTTGGAAACTTTGTTGGAGTCTTTCAAGAATTAAATAGAGATTCATGATGAAGGCAATAACTGACAATGCAATAATGCATTTAATAAACCAGGGTGAGGAGAAATCTTAACAGTTAGAAAGAACAGCAGAATACAATGCACCCCAAACTGAACATTAAAAACAGTGACTGCACGTATGCAAAGCCTTTATGGAGATGCAAAGCCTTTATGGAGATGACAATATTCCTTGGCTTATAACTGCACACATGAAGGCCACAGTGACTCACAGTCTCTTTCTGCACAAATAAGAAGGCTTCAGCCATGATAGATAGCCTTCCCAGTGATTTTTACCCGCACTTACCAATAACCTTGACATTGAATGTGCATCTTGCTTCATTGCCTGACTTATCAGTTGCTGTGTAAGTAATGTCAACTTCTCCAATTGGGAGAAGAAATGGTGGGATGAAAGCTGGGGTAACATGAACTGAGACCTGTTACAGGAAAACACTAATTATTTAAAAGCCAAAGCTGGTTACTAATCATAATATTCATGTTTTAAAAAGTGGACAGAATAGTATCCTTCAATGTCAAGCCTGTTCATTCTGAATGCAAATAGCCCCTTAAAGTAATGAGGACACACTTTACAACAGAGTGCTCTATGCCCCTTCTTAAATCTGCCTTCCTTACGGCAACATGGATTTCCCTAGTCAGGATCTTGACCCTGACCTGGTGCAGATTACAGCACTGTGCATTAAACTGACCCTTGTTTGTCAAATGGGACTGAAGGCACACTATGTCAGCTCAGAACCTGTTTGGTCTGCTGAGAGTTCTCCAGCTGCAAGGACCCGGGAGAGGAGTGGAGCAGACAGTGGTGGGCCATAAATACTTACATGTCCAGTTTAAATTTATGTACCTGCATGAGTCAATAGCCCACAGATGCTTCAGTATGGCACTTGGCTTCTACAGTTCATTGAATGACCCTGTGACAGCAGAGCTGTAGTACCTGACCATAGCTATGCCACAGAAAATGTCTGAACTTAAATCTCTTTTACTGAGATAGCTCAGTTTCCTAGTGAAAAAAATCTCCCGCATTAAAAGCTCACACAGACTTGCTGCTCTCCTGATAAAGCATTCAGTTGGTGTAACTTGATCATGCCTGAACCTGTAGGGAATGTTGCTCTTTATGAAACAGCTCTGGAGCAAGCTTTCCTGGTAGCTCAATTTCCAGGCACCCTGGCAGGCATAGCAGCCAATGGCCACATTTCTGAACCCTGCACAGGAAAATCAGATTTCTCTTTCTCACCCAGGAAGCTGAAATTGGTTTTTACTTATCACAGTGTGTACTTGTTAGCCCCTTAGATTAATGAACTGGTTTACTTCCTTCTGAGATGAGTTTATTAAACTTCTTCACATTCTAAATGCTCATTTTTAAGGCAGCTGTCTTCATATTATAAACAAGAGCACATTCTTTCTTTTGACCACATAAATTAACCATATGAGGTTTTATGCACTGATACTCCATGCAGTGTTCTGCGACTGTATAAATCTAATAGAGACAGAAAATGCTGAATTCTCAAGATACAAACCTTCTAGGAGATTTTTCTTCTACTTCTGCTTATCAGAAGAAAGAAATTCTAGTGGATCATAAAATTAATTGAAATCAGACAGATTGCCTCCAGTTAAACAGATACAGATTTTGACTTGCCTCTTCACCAGAGTTATCCTTAGCTGTTGGTACCTGCCAGCTGATATTAGCAGAGTTATGATGTTCCAGAGTCACAGTCTCAATATTGTCTGGGCAGTGAATCTGAGGCGCTTCAATATCTAAACCAGAAAAAGACAATCTGGTTTTATATGTAGCATTACATATGTAAAACCTTATAATCACTCTTTTTTGTACTGCCTAGAATAGAAATGTAAGCATTCTTGTAAAATTTATGTCTCTACCCATTTGTAATTCTTTCCTAGAGATTCACACATGCATAGTAAATTCCCCTGTGGAAAGGACAGAATTCTGCTGTATTTTTGTTTATCGCTGACTACAACGCTATTCTGGTTTCTACATAGAACTAAACCCCAAATAATAAATAAGAATAAATTTGTTTCTTTTATTACCCATCCCTTCCTTTTCCATCCATTTCCTTTCCCTGCCCAGACACAGGACACATACAGATGAAAACACTTGTTTCTGATAGTCAGCAACTAAAAAAACCTGAAAGTAGTTGTCTCATGATATAGATACTATAAACAAGGCAATAGTGACTCAAATTCTCTGGAGCATGCTGTGGAACTGACTTAAAAGTGACAGTGTCAAGAATCCAGACAGCAATTGCTGGAAATGTTCCTTAATAAACTCCTGTTACAAGGTATTATGAGGGGCAAATGGAGTCTTCTTGTGACATGTGACAATGCCAGATGGTTCCAGAGGACTGGTAGTATGATATGGGTAACACCACCACCAACATTTACACCTCAAGTTTCTTTGACAAACTTGAAGCACTTCTTCAGTTCCTTGGCACAGGGCCCCCCAAAACATTTGTGGTCAGGTTATTTTATTGCTGTAGTGCTTGATAAATGGTCTCTAGAATCATAAGACAGGGATACATTTGGCTCTGAACTCATCTATGCCCAAGAGGCTTTAAAACAACTCAGAACTGATATAACTTATATTTTTATTATGAAATAGATCCAGTAAAAACATAACTTGGGCAATTAAATTACATAATTAAGAAGGCAAAGCAATAAATACGTGGGATTTTGCCTTCCTTTGAACTCATTCAAATGAAAATTTCATTAGAAATGCACTCTTATAAATAACTACCACTTATGGTTCACACTCCCCTGACCACAGCCTTCAGGCTGGGGCAAATTCCAGTTGAAAGTGAAATTCTCTAAAAAGGGTAATAATAAATAAGTCAGAAAGAAAATGGCTCTTTTGAACTGGCCAAATATGTTGGCAGCAAAACAGAGAAAGACAACAACAAGAATGAAAGCAATTGAAATACAACTGTTCATTTTTATTCAAGAAGAATAAGCTTCATAGTTTCTCAGTGCCTCCTACATGCATTGGTAGTACCTAAAAGCTTGAACCCAAGCCATGCTGTTTTATCCTGATCTAAACACTTCAGCTTGTCCTGGGATCCCACCAAATATTAAAAACTGTGGTTTGGCCCAGGTTTATGCAAGAGATTCAGACAAACAATGTGGTACATCACAAAATGGGAAGCAGTATGTTTAAAGAGAGAGAGAAAATCTTCCTGGCCTGTACAGAGGAAAAAAGCTTCAGTTTCTGTAGCGACCTGGCATGACAACTGGCGTGACTGTTTTCTGTGCTGTTCCAGCACCCAGGGGCTGGCCAGGGCCCCAGTTTGGGGGGAAAGAAATAATTCTCAGAGCACAATAGTTCACAAAGAGGTGAAGAGCACATTCCCAGAGAAACTCCTGTTTTTATCCTACTATAATCCAAAGCCAGACCCTTTCCACTTCCGTTATGACTGTGTGTTAGGGAATAAATAACCTAGCACTTCTAGAAGAGGGGGGTAAATATGGCAGAACTAAAATGCATGCCACCTTCTCCTGCCCAGCTTTACCCTCTGTGTCAGCCACTGCACTTGGTGTTAATGAATTCTGGCCTTAACTCTTGTGCATTGTTGCTTGGGGTATGTCAACAGCAGTAGCCACTCAAAGACAACTAAAATGAACTTTTCTCTATAGTCTGTCTATCAGCCAGGCCTTACACAGCCTTTACAGGTTTACATAAACTTGTGCTAAAACACAAGTTTATTTTATTATTACTTTATTAGAAGTGTGGGTTCCACTTTGAATATTTTCAAGCTATGAGCATTCACCTTCACTTTAAAATTTCAAATTTACCTCAGGCAGCTTCCTAATAAATGAGAGATGGAGCCCAGGAGAGAAACTTGATGATGAACACTACAAGATCACGCTCAAGGGATCTCTGAACTCCACATTTTTGTTACAAACTACAAGTAAATCTGACAGGCAAGCTGTAAAGGTACAGGCAATACTTCTTACACACTGTGCAAGTTGTGCTTTCCCCACTCCAAGCCTGTTCTCACTCAGTTATTTGCTGTGCACTTCCCTTCAATTCTGCACTCATGTATACACAGACATGATTTTGTGCTCTACCTTTACACAGAGCCTCCTGGATGTTTGCACTCCATCTCCCAAATGAAATGCACCTTATTTCTTCTCTAGCTCCAGACAAGATGAATCCCTGGGGACAGCTCAGCTGGCACACAGTCCCAGAAATGGCAGGCTCCAGCCCACATCTGGGAGGGAGAACTGTCACACCTGCTGGTTTCTGGAGGATGGGACAACGTTTTTCTGCAAGACAGCAGCAGAACATGACTTATAACTGCCATACACAAAGTACACATTCAGAAAACCTGCAAATAACGTCATATGGAAAATTAGTGGGAACAAAAAGTACACAGTCTTTTCAAGAGTCTGTAGGGGTATGAGTGCACCAAAACATTACAAGTTGATGAGACTTTGCTACTTGATTTTCAGTTATGACTGAAGTAAACAGCAGCCAGTTTATCAGTTCTTCTATTTCTTGCTCGTGCTCTTCACTGAAACCGAAACGTGATAATTTTCATGCAGATCCACTATCTCTTACTCTACAGATTTGCCTTTTTAAAATTTTCTTCTTTTCCTCACAACTTCATCTTTCATGGTTGCTTTGCAGTTGCATTTCTTTGCTTCTATGAAAACTAGACTGTAGCAGGAGAGAGGGCATTGAAGAGGACCTGTAGCTTTCTACAGCTTCTATACTCTATTTTGAAATAAGAAAGGGAGAAGAAGAAGGATATTCTGCCATGAACTCTTTATAGGTTAGGGACATGACACATGATTTTGCTTACTGCATTCCAAACCAAATTAAATTGGACTTGGTCTTGTCTGCATTCAAAACAGCTGGAAAGACTCAGGGTGATCATAGGAAGCAGCTGAGCTCTGTAAAATCAGGGAGGGTTGATGGTTGCTTAAAGGTTTTACAGGAAGTTTTGAACTACTCCATTAATAAGGTTCACTACAAATCCTGAAGACAGTTTGCATCAAGACAAAAACCATGATGTATTTAAACAGGTTCACAAAAGCTTTGTTTCATTCTTAAGCTGTTGTTTTTAGGAATGTTATTTTTACTTCAACTATGGAGACATTAACAAAGGGGCAAAAAGGGATTATCTCATGAATGCAGTTTGCACACTCCCTGTACTGTTTCTTACAATAGTTAATAGGCAAACACACAAGAAAAATGCTCCCTTATTCAGAGCCAATGAGAAGACCTGTAACTCTTTATAAATTGTCAGTGTAGAAATCAGACAGGCCTTTACACCAAGAGAACACAAAAACCAACCCAACTCAGCTACACAGAAGGCAAGTTCTACTGAGCTGGTAGCAATGGTTTAATGACACAAAAGTGATTCACATTCAAAATACTTCACATTCCTTTTCTCTCCTCTCCTTTCCCAAAACACATAGCAAGTAACTGAAAACTGGTTTTTATGCATGAAAAAAATTTAAAGATTCTAAGCATTCTGTGTATTTTCTGAAATTTAAACCTCAATGCTGAAATGCTTAAAAGCCCAAGCAATTAACAACTGCACTTCATTTCAATAGGATGCACAGGGCACAAACATTCCAACTCATTTTTATAGCTCAGGGAGACACTGCTGGCTCTGCAAGGTGGAAAAACTCCATCAGGGAAAAAACCCCAAACCCTAAGTTTTGGCTGCTCACAACATGAAGGTAACTGACAAATAGCAAAAAGATAACAAATTTTAAAACCAGTATTTGTAGAGGGAAGCTAAAAGCATTAAAATGTATATTACTCTGGGAACAAGTAGAGAAACTGAAACATGTAAGCATGAAAAGCAGAGAAAGTTGCAGCTCTCAGGGAAGTAAAAACAGCTGGGCCTCTTGCTTGAAATACATCCAGCTATAGTAGAAAAATCCAACTACAGCACAATCCTGAAATGTCTGACAAAAATCAGAATAAAATTTGGTATATCTAGCAGAAGGGAATTTCTTTTAAGTAAGACAGGTTTTTACCAGGAAAAGCAACTGCAATAGTGTTGTTTAGATTTTTTATCTGTGCTGAACTCCAGAATTTGATCAAAAAGTCTGACCCAAAAGTCTGGAATTCATTAAGGGTAGAGGGATTTCCATGACATTAGTCATATTAGTAGGGAATTAATAGAGGAGTATTTCTAAGGAGACACAAGAACCTGCTTTCACCTGCAAGCACCTGTGATGAAACACAACACTGTATTGTAATTTTCAACATCAAAAGGAACTTGGTAAATAAGAAGATTACAAAGCAAATCATGCCTCCTTCCTTCAATCCTTTGCCAAGATTGCTGCAGGAAGTAAAACTGGCCAGCTGCAATTAGGAGTGTGAGTTAGCAATTCTTCCAACGCTAGATGGCATCCACACCCTGGATGTCGTTTGTATTTTTACTTCACTAAACCTTGAACAAAGAAAGGAGAGAAGCATCTTGCAAAATTTATTTATTTAAAAGTGATTGATATTAAACTTTTGCCAATGAGTAGGAAACAAAAGAACATGACTATGGAGCTTTCCCAGTTTTGTTTTTTTTCTCCCCAAACTGGACAAATGACCAAGCTTCCCTTTTTTAGCAGATATCTTGTTTGTCAGACACCTATAAAATACATGTAGCCTCCTCAGAAGTAGCTAATTGTTAACAATATCTTTAATGAAAAAGACAAAAATTTTAAACTTGTGTAATATCCAAACTTGTACTACCTTCCAGTCTCTTAGAAAGAGATGCATGACAATAGACCTCACAGAACTGACTGTAAACAATCCAGGAAATGTTATGTTTTCTGTCAGCATCAGTTTTGGTTACACATGGCTCTGGTACAGTCTCAGTGAGCTAACTTGCAAATATGGCAAACTTTGCACTGATGAGCAATCAAACCCAAAAACATACAGATAATCAGCTAGAAGGATACCCTGAGTCCAAGAAATCTGTTTCAAGGTAACAGACTGAAGAAAACTCCATTTCAGTTTTCTAACAGAAGAATATGAAATTAATAAATTATCAATTGCAAATGCCTAAATACAGCAGGACTTCCAGTACCTTTTATATAGCAGACTGTAAATAATAGTTAGGAGCTATTTGGACTAAAAATTAACAGACAATACCTCCATGACAATGATGATATTCAGAAAATGGGTACAAAGGGTAGCTTCAACCTTCAAGAGGAGTATACAATATCAGTGTTCTGATTTACATTTCTCCCTGAATAAAACTCCACACATGAATATTAAACCAGAATTTCAGCAAGCTTGTTCTAAACACCAGTCACAAGAAGCAGCAGAGATGCTTCCTAGCTAACACTCTTTCCTTTCTGACAATCAAAGGTAACTTTCTCACTAAATTTTTCAGACTCAGCAAAAAAGATATTGCCATGGGTAATCCAGGAATGGAGGCAATATTGCATGGTGTTAATAAATCTTCTGATAGAAAGTAGAGCTGGATTTTATTAATCAAAATGCTAAGCTAGGAAGGATGAATTCAACTGATGAATATAGTTAATCTTCTAATTATAATATCCCAACTGGATTTCAGGGTCCCTTCCTTTTGAAGTTAATTGAAGTTTTTCCACTGATTTTAACAGAAGAAAGATTAGGATCTCTTAGCAAACTGTCTTGTTAAATTATTTCTTGTGGATTATTTCCATAATTTCAGAGAATGTACTTACAGTTAGAAATTTATGCTTGTCTCACACAGGTCCACATTTTTAAGACTGCAATAAAACAGTAAAGAAGTAGCCAGAGGTTCAGTGAAGTCACCCTACTGGCACTGCATTTACTGGATCCAGGTGACATATACTTCACCCTAACTTTAGTCAGCACTGGATCAACTTTTGTATTGGTGGACTTCAGACTTTCCCCCCACCGCTTCAGTCTATGTTTAGAAGTGTTTCAACTGCATTTCATCATCTTCTTTTCCAAAGTTAATTCAATACCTGTCACTAGTCCTAAACAGATTTGGAACATAATACAGACCTACATATCCCTGCACAGCTGGTGAGACCTCTGAATCCTGATTCAGAGGTGCTTGGCTCCTAATTTGTGTAAACTCTTGTTTCCTTGCTGTGAGTCCAGCACAAGTGACAACTACTGCACCTTTAGTCAGCACTCACAGTGCCTGGATAACATAAGCTAGTCCTTGTCTGCATATCAACTTTTGTTTTTTGATGGTAACTCAAACTGCTGGTTGATCATATTTAATCCCTAGACCTACTGCTTCTATGTTTCTTGCAACACACTGTGTGACAGTGTCTGACACTAACGAGATCCAACAGCCTTTCAGTAATCAGCAGTCACACTGTATTTAAATGATAATCTCTCCACTTTCTCCATTTACAAATTCCTTTGCCCTTCCCCAGCTTCTAAGATGTGCATAAAACATCCATTTACAAATTCTCATTTATGTCTTAGCTTCACCAGTTATTAAAATATGAAGAATTTCTCACCTATGATAACATGTCAGAAAAGGCTGCACTCTAACACAGACAGAGTTAGATCAGATACCTACCCACACACTTTGGCTCCTTTGAATCCCACTGAGAGGTTCCCTGGCAGGTGAGTTTGCTGTTTCCTTCAATTTCATAGCCCTCATTGCAGATCACAAAACATACTGTCTTGTAGGAAATATCAGCTGTTGAACAGTTAATGTGTCCATTTTGAGGAGACCGAAGTCTGGGACATGTTCGAACTGCAAAGGGGAAAAAACACCAGTTCACTCTCAGCACTGAGTATCAGTGGAGTTACACTACTTTGCCCAGTTTTCAGAGGTAGGAGAGATACTGTCTTGTACATTAGTTACAGTAGTTTGTATGAATTTAGGGAATAGAGCTAGTACAGAGTAGATTTTTTCAAAGGCTTGATACCTTCCTCTTCCTAAAACATAGAATGTATGAGGTTGGGCACACACTTCCAAGCTCACCTAAGTATTAACATAAGTTCAAACTAACAGACTAACTGTGCATCTGGTACACAGTGTGCAGCCTGAGATGGTAATGCCTATTGGCCTCCAACACAGGGCAGCTGCAGGCAAATGGTACCCTGTGAAAAAGTGTGTGCTCTTGGGAGTTTCTAGTCTCCAACAACATCTGAGAACTTTTGGGGGATTTCGAACTAGCAGGCTGGTATGGGCTGAGTAAACACCAGGGAACAGGCTAAGAGCTTATGAACAGGTTAGATGACAGTGTCCCAGTACTCAGGAATTTTCTCAGGCACTCTGGACTATATTCATAGAATATAGTCATGTGAAGGCCTCAGCAAATCAGAAGAGAAGATGTTCAACATGCTGGAGGAGACAGAGAAGGAAGGAATACAAGCTGTTTTTATGGCTTGTGTAGCAGGTCCATAAGAGATGAAAAGGAACAAATCAGGTTATTGCTGATACAAAAGGGACCCTTTCAGGTGTCAGGCATGGAGACAGTCCTGGCTCTGCTCAGCTCAGAGCCTTTTTCCCTGTAATGTCTTGCAAACACTGAAAGCAGCGTGATTCCAAGGAGAATGCAGTCCTGTGCAGGATGTGTATGCAGAAAAGGAAGCAGGGAAGTGAAGAGTGATTGTCTTACAGTTTTACTACTGAATCCTGATGTTCCAATATAGCACAAAGCTGCTCTGTAATTAAGATTGATCCCAGAAGATCTGAATGATCATAGTAAGAAAAATGTAGCAATGGCATGACCTGGGTTTATGTTCTTTGTTTCAATGTCATAACCCAAGACTCTATAGTAGGACCTATTTCCTCTGTACTGTCTTTTCAGTGCAGTTCCTTTTCAGCTAAGAGGTCATGCTCCAGGATTTGTGTCTTTGATCCCCTCCAGACAAAACTCTGAAATACATATGCACTACCTGGCCTTTGGGTCCCTCAAGGATCTAAGCTCTGCACACAAGGAGCTAAGCTCTGCTGTCTGGAGATGAGCATGTGATGATGATGATGATGATGATGATGATGATGATGATACACCAATAACCAGCTACTGGCTTTCCAACATGAGTGGAAAACTCTGATCAAAACCTGACCTCAGGTGAAGTTGGCAGATACAGTCCAGTATGTTCAAAAGAGGGATAAAAACAAGTAAGGGCAAATGGTGTGATGCCCAAAAATATAACCAAGACTGCAGTTCCCTAAATTCAGAGAATGGCTATGGTTCAAAGGAGCCACTGGAGCATTTCTAGTCCAACCTCTCTGCTCTACATTGGTCATCCTAGAGCACATTGTACTCTAGGGTTGTGTCCAGACAGCTTTGAGTATCTCTGCTGAGGGAGACCCCACAGCCTCTCTGGGTGGCCTGTTACAGTGCTCAAGTCACTCTCCCTGTAAAGAAGTTCTTTCTTCTACTCACGTGGAACTTGCTGTGCATCAGTCTCTGCCCACTGCCTCTTGTTCTTTTGCTTGGCACCACCAAGAGCCTGGCTCCCTCCTCTTCAGATACTTATATACATTGATAGGGTCCCCTCTCAGTCTTCTCCAGGCTAAACAGGCCCAGCTCTCCAAGCCTCTCATCCCTTCCCCACAAGAGGAGCTCTGTTCTCATTTGATTGTTTTCCACAGCTTCTGTTTACCTTATTGGCAGGAGGGCAACCTCTGGTGATGGGTGGTTTCAGAGAGCTGCTTCTCTGTTGTGATTTGGGAAGCTGATTTTACCAATTAACCTAATCTTGCTACTGTCAGGTAGGAGGCAAAACATGATCTCCTCTATAAATGCACTCAAAGGGAAACCACCTTGGCAACCTCTCCCTTCTCCATTATTGCTTACTCTGCACACAAGTGGACACCACAAACACCTCAAACTAATTAATGGGCATATAGGCTGAATGCTGCCTCAAATGCAAGCCAGCTCTATAATTATCCCTAACTGCACAGCCTCTGAAAACTACAAACAACACATGTAAAATAATGTCTTTAAAAAAAACCCAAAAGCTATGGTGGCACCTAAGCGGAAAAAAAGTAGCAAAACTTATATATATGGGATAAGAAAGAAGGAAAAGAAGACATACAGATGTACCTATTATGTCTTTATATTAGTACTGTCTCACATTACTCTCTGAATGTATTACTACTTTTGTGCTTGCATATGCACAGGCATTCTTTAGGAAGTGTATTTAAAAACAGCCTTGAAATGCTCATTTGTGAGGCACTCTGAGCTTCAGAGTAGCTTTATAATATGCTGCATCTAGTAGGGGGAGTAAGAAAAACATATTTACAGATGAATCTCAAATGCTTTATCCACAAGAAAGTAGGCTTGCTCTTAAAAGGTTTCTACAGAAGTAGAAATACCCAATCTGCAGTAAAAAGAAGCAAATTATACCAAACTCTACCTACTACTTAGGAAGCCGGAATGAATTAATAGCGGTGAGGAGGCTCTTGCCAATGTTCATGTGCCTACAGAGAAGGCAGTTCCTTCACTACCTGCTGTCCAGCCATTTCTTCTGGAAGGACTACACAGCTGGAGTGCTCTTGCCTCCTCAAGTGTTTCAGTGCTCAAGCTTACTCAGCGTCTCAGCACGGTTCTGGCAGAAACCTGTACCTGAGCCCATGTTACCTCAGTCATGGTTCCAAGCATTAAACACCAGCCCATCCTCTTATCAGTAACACATTTTCCATTTCCAAAAATCCAATGAAAACAGGAACAACAATAACAGGATATTTTGCTTGCTCTGGGGTTTCTCCTAATAATTTTTTTCTGGACTAAATATGGGGTTTGCAGTATTTTTTTTTCCTGGGTCACTGTTAATTGCATGACATATGACTGCATTAATCACTTTCTAATAGCACACAGATTTTAGCTAGCAAAAGAACTGAGGAGTACTTAATGTCAAAATCCAAAGCAGTGGAAAGGGATTTTACTTCCCTCTCCTCTTCCTAATTTATGTGATAAAATACTCTTGGGATTAACAAGACAGCTATAAACCATGCCTTTGATCTTGCTCCCTTTCACAGTCTGAGTGAATTAAGACTAGCAGATCCAGCACATGTAACAGTGGTATTTTCAATTTTTTTTTTAATTGCAAGTCTTCAGGATGATGGACAACAGCACAAACAAAGCCAAGTCAAAATATATCCTTCCAGTGCTTCAAAGGATATTAGCTCAATATCAAGACAGTATCTCAATCCAGACTTTTCCCTCACCTTCCAAATTCCCTCTTAAAGATCACACTCCAAATAGACGAATTCCTTTAAATGCTCCAGCAAGATTTTCAAGTAGTAGAATCTTCCACTTCTCCATGAAAGAGAAGATAAAGGATCCCTTCTTTGTACCTGACTGCAGCTTTCCCAGATTTTTTGCACAAAGGGTGCCTGTGTGACAGAAGCTTTAACAGAGGGTGCCGTTTCCCAGTGTCCCAGTCTGCTTGAAGCAGCATGCAGTTCTGACTGCTGGAAAGTCCACAGCTCCAAATTCTGCTACACAAGATACCCTCATAGTACTGGCCAGCAATTGATATTCTATTGAAACCTTCTCCTCTTGTCAGTGGAAGCTAAAAAGGAAACCTAAGACTTCTGTGATTATTTGAACAAAGTTCCTACAAATCTAAGCTGAAGTAAAATGCTATACAAAGAATATCCTGAGAGACTGATTTCTAGCTCAGATTCCTCCTTCCAGAACCAAAAGTTGCTGTTTCTTTCAGGGCTGTAGTGTTTGCTGTACTGTCATAAATTGCTAATTCCGCCAAAGATCAGTCCTGCCTTTTGCCCTGAACACAAGGTCAAGACAAGAGTTACAGAATGAGCTGATGGCTTTTTATTTCCTTCTTCCAGTGTAGCACACTAATGTCAAGGGCATTCAAGTCAAATTAAACATGCTGAACTACATCTTGTGGATGTTGAGGAGATAAAGGCTTCTACCTGGTTTATTTTTTTTTCATTCTCTCCTTGGAAGACATATGAGACAGATTTACAGGCCTGGGATTGCAGTTTTCATTCTAAATCATCAAAAACCCAAACTCAGGCAGTTTTGTTGTAGCAAAACAAAACTCTGCTCCTATCAGAAAATCTAGAAATATTTTTTTTCAGGATGCTCTTTCTTGTGTCTCAGTTTCACACCTTATTTTGGGCTGACATTCTTTCATAGTGAAATTCTAGGGTATTGTCAGTGATTCCCTATTGAAATTCCACTCAAAAGACTTCCAAGGACTCTGCTCAAGTCCCAGGCTTTCCTATTTTTGGTAAGAAAAAACTGAAAGAAAGCAAAATGGAATTCTTCCATGGCTAATGTCTCCCAAGACCAACAACCCTCTATGCTGACAATGTGGTAGATGATCTAAAACAGCCAGGTGGCAAGGTCTCACTATGTATTTAAATACTTGGTAGGATTTCACTGGATTTATACAGTGTAGATACAAAAATTCATAGAAATTAGGTAGACAGAGGTGAAGAGAGGTTTAAGGAAGGAGTCTGTATATTCACTTGCAAAAGTGAATATACCATCTAGTCAATCTTGCTCTGCTTTTTCTGTTGCAGAAGTCCTTCTTCCATTTTATAAAGGAAGGAAACAGAGTGATAGGGGTGTTAGCCAACCTTTGGAATGAACTTTCACACAGGGGTAACAGGATCAGATCTGCACAACCAACCATATAATGAGTGAAGAAAACCACTGCTAAGAATGAGCAACAGCAAAAATGCTTTTCAAACACATACCTCTGCAAGTAGCCTCTGATCCAGACCACTGCCCATTTGGTTGACAAAGCCGGATGCTGCTTCCAACAAGATCAAATCCTGTCTTGCATCGGATTCCACAGGCAGCATTAAAGTAATTGTTGCAGACATTCTGGACAAAGTGACCATTTTCAGGGGGCTTCAGCTCAGGGCAGTGAACAACTGAATAATTAAACAGCCACAACAAAGTGGTTACTAGCTAGAGTGCAATAGGCCCCTGAAGGAAAACAATAATTTAGAATTTCTAACTCAGCTTGCATCTCGGCATTTTTGCTGGTTTGGAATGACAGAGAGAATCTTGTATGCATTTGACATGTCCCTTACAGTACAAAACCACATTAAAAAATTGTCCCAGCACTGCATTGTGCATTCCAGGGGTTTTCTGTTTGTGGATGGAAACACTTACCTTCACAGGTTTGTCCTACAGCACGATAACCCTCCCGGCACGTGCAATCCTCAAGGGAGGTACTTCCCGGTGGAGAAGTATGATTCTCATCAGGACATGAGATACAAGTGCTGATTCCACCTGGTGAACCTTCAGGCTTGTACGTTCCTGGTGGACAAGCTTTCAGCAAAAGAAAACAGAAAGGAATCAGGACTTTCACCTTTCATCTAGCATATTTTTTCAGGTGTGTTGTTTCTACTCTTTCTACATTTTCATTTATATATTCAGTGTCACCTAGGGCAGGAGCATTCTCCACTAAAGTACTGCAGAATTCTTAACAGGTTTGAACTAATGCCTTCCAGACCTGGTGGAGTTATCTATAGTGACTGTCTGGGGACTGACATTAAGTCCATGATTAATCATCTTGAAAAGGAACCCAGTCCCAGAAGACACACCAGATTTTCACTGACAAAATCTGTGCAGACCTTATGAAGACATTCTTGATTCAGAACTGTAAAAAATCAGTTCAGACTTAATCTTTGCCATTCAAAACTACAAGATGTTTAATGCATAGAGATTCATAGTTAAAAGCTAATACAAGCCAGCAAAACTCCTGCCTTTGATTTACACATTATGGTCATATGATATATGTGATCTATATACTAGGTGTGCTGAAATGTGAGAGGCAAAAACAATGAAGGAATTAATCAAAGCAACTACTGCTTGAAGCCTTTGCACTCATTTATATTGCATTTCATATTATTAATTCTGTGCAACTGCACAAACAAGCTTTAAAAACATTCAGGTGACATTTTCTAAGGCAGAGAAAATGCACATCTCACCAGAGAACTTCAGATGGGCTTGATAGCTCTAAGCCTTACTGCTCTCTGCCTTGAATTCTTGTCTTCAGGAAATCACTGTAATTTGTGTTTCTTTCACAAGGCGTGTGAATTAGGGGAGTGACTAATCAACAGGACAACACAGCAACTGCTGCTAAAGTGAAATTTTGATTGACCACATTACCACTTGAAACAGAATGCAAAGACACTTGTAAAGCTGAAAAATGTAACTGCTAATGAAAAGTTCAGGAAATATTCTATTATGCAATAGGAACACTGAAACCTGGCCAAAAAACTTTCACTTCATTAACTTAATTGTCAGCAAAATGGCCACATTTTCTCCTTCAGACTGCAGTTCAGGCGCTGTCATTCTCTCAGCCAATTGGTACCATTTGATGTAGCTCTGAATGGGATGAAGAGCTGTACAACCATAACCAGGCTCAAGTGACTCCCTCCTTACACAGTTAGTGTGCCTTGCTTGTGGAATTGGTCTCTCCTACAGAGCTGTATTTACTGGAGCTCAGATATTCTGGCAGTATCAACCTCCTCTTTGGTAGCTATAAGACCAACTTGGTCTATTCTGAGACTTGGATGCAAAGATACCCTGCCTCTTGTCTTACTAATGAAAACCCACTGCATTCTAGGCAACTGGAAAAAAAAACAAAACAACAAACAAACCAAAAAAAAAAACCAAAGGCAAAAGAAAATCCATTCTCCTTTCTCCTCACCTGTCATGAGAGAATTGACTTTCATAAGCCAAATTTTATGGAATATACCCCCCCAAAAAATCAGCCAATATGAGCAGGTGGCACTTTCCAGAAGGAGGATGATTTTTTGGATACTTTCCAGAGAAAATACTTTTGTTGGTTTTTAAAAAAACTTTGAGTGTTTTTTTTGAAGAAAGCAACTGAGTGGCTTCCAGTTAAGAAGCAGATTTGGGTGCTGAAATTGGATTCACTAATTTGTATTTTAAACACACTTTTAAAGAGACAATGACAATGCCTATTCAGTAAGAGATATAAATACAAAAGAAAGCAATTCAGGAATGAAATAGGCAGAAAAATCCAATCAGATTTAGAGAAGGGATTTTTTAATTTTTGTTTTGGGATTTTCAGAAAAGTATTGGGAAAAAAAGTCCCTTTCATATAATTCACCTGTTCTTCCCATCCAAGACAACCTTTCTGGACTTCTGCTTCTATCCTTTGTTCTGTGCAGAAATTCCCATCTTGGACATCACATGTCTCCAAAATATTCTCTCCTGCTTTAGATGATCAGAGTACCAGAGGCATTGCTCTGAAATCTCTGAAATATTTCCATCTGGCACTTTGTGAAGGTCTCTGTGCATCCTTTTTAAAACTGTATCCAGCACAAAGTGATGAAGTGCATCCAAGAGGACACAGGAAAGAGTGAAAATTAAGCATCACAGGGGACCTGCTCTGTGACAGAGATGCCCTCCATATGCCAGTTGAAGTAAAATAGCCTTTTCTTTTCCATGTATGGCATATAAAATGACATCTAAACTAGGTGTTCCATTCCAAAAAATCTCCCCTATAAACCAACAAACCCTCAACCTAATTTCTCTCTTCCTTTCAACCTCACCCAAAATAAAAAAAAACAGCAGCAATTTTCTCTCTGTTTTGAGAACTATGGAATAGAAGTAATCACCCATTCTGTGATGTGAACATTTTTAACAATAAACCCAGTAATTTGCTTAGAGCTTTGAATCAGTCTGGCTTTGAAGAAAATGATTAATTCTGAAATCACACTTACAATTTGCTCTTTCCAGTCAAGCAGCAGGAGGTAAACAACACTGTTAAGATCGTTATTAATGTCTCTACTGAGAAAAACATGTTTTCCCAAATGTCCTCGTTCTTTATGTATGCTTCAAATGCTTATCACTGCCTTTACAGGAAGTTGAAGTATATCCTTAACTTGGCATTTTATGTGGAATTTTCTTTAAGTCTGAATCCCTGCTAATTGATCCCACATATGCTCTAGACATATTCAAACTATGAAACTCCACACCAGTTTCATTCAGAATCTTTGTCAGAAAGCACTGGCTTACAGAGACATTTCCAAGTGTGCGAGGTCACACAGTCTATCCTGAGATGTCAAAGAGATGATTTAAGAACAGAGCATAAGCACACTGTGCATTTCCATCATTTCCATGACAGTCACAGAGGTTAGCCTGGCCACAGCTCACGTTAAAACCATCCAAAATCAGCTGTGGATGAGCAGAGCCCTGGCCATCTGCTCTAGACTGTCCACATTTGATCTAGCTAAATGGTAGATCCATCCTAGACAGCACTACAGCATGGCCCAAGTCTACACTCAGTGATGGATTCAAAGCTAAGACAGAGCCTAAGGGACAAACACATCTGAAGAGCACCTGTGGCTCAATCCATGACTGATCATACAGTCAGGAATCTTCTAGGATCAAGCAGTGTCAAATTTCATTCTAGTCACCTATATGCATTCAGCAACCAGCAAAAAACTTACTACAGGGAAAGATTATATTCTTTGGTCCTAATCTGTAAAAGTAAATTTTTTTTCAAGGTTTGGTTCCCTTTCCAGCAATGTCCAGGTGTAAAAAGCCTCAAAACAGTGTGTGAATAAACCCAGTGTAAATAAGCACCAATTTAGCACTATCAAGAATAACAAAAAGAGGGACAAATTTAAAAATAGGAAAACAATTTTAACAGTATCAGTCTTTAAAGAGAGAGGAAACTCATATGCACATTGCAAACATGATTTTGAAAACAAAAGATGTGAATTTCTATATATGTGAACCATGTTGTTCTCTGCCCAGAAGCAAGGGGAGGAGCAAGGAACTGCTTTTTGCTTAATCTAATTCTCCTCTTGAGACAGAATAGTGAACACTGAGCTACACCAGATGATTACCTCTTTGTTGGAATATATCTGGAAGCAGAGATTAGTGTGTGAACTCAAACAAGCACAAGGCCCAAATTCCCCAAGCACACAAAGATGGGTCATATTGAAGTTGTCATCAACAACCTGCTTTCATAAAAGGGTAGATATTCATCAACAATTCACACGCAGATTCTATTGTCTATACTAAGGACAGTGCACTAAATTTCTGACCAGAAATTAAAATGAAGTAATACATGGTTACTTCAGCATGCCTCCTGCCTTTTCCTCCTCACATATGTTCTCCTAGGGTGTATAACTGACCGAAAAATTGTAAGAAAATCGAGCATGTCTCTTCTGGTTTTGAACATTACTGGGCTTGATGACATGTTGGGCCACCAACAGAATGCACTTTCTTACTTATACTTAAGTTGCATATAGGAAAGAAATCACTAGAAAAGAAATATGACAGGGGTTTGCTAGAATCAAAGACCCACAGGACAGACATAAAAACATTTCGGTCAACTAACCATACTGATAGCACACCTATATGTCAAGATGTTGTTTGAAAATAAACAGTGAACGTGGAACGTTAGAAAAGGCTGTGTAAAAAAGTAAAGAACAGACTTCTAAATTCAGTAGGAATTTTATTCTGCCTTCCTACAATTATGAAATCACTGACATTTTAATCTTTATGCAAGAATTTACTATTGTAAAAGTGACAACAAAAACAAAGGTTTATTTCAGAGATTTATCAAACAATTCATATGTATTATGCACTTTGGCTTTTTCAAAACTGCAAATACTAAAGCCATCAGCAAAGTTAAGCCAACTAGCACTGAACTCCCACAATGGCATAAAGTCTCCAGTCTGGACTTAAGCAGGTGGAGATCATAGGACAAAGCATTCATCTACTCTGTGGCATGGGATCACAATTCTTTCTCTAAGTGTACAAGTACAAATTTTAAGGATAAACATTTCTGCCTTAAAAATATAAAACTTTCAAAATCCTGGGAGAGCAAGCAAACTCAATTCCCTCTCCAACTAGTCCAGTGCTCTAAGTCACTGAAATGGAATTATTCTTCAATTATCCCAGTGTTAAGAAAGAGGAGACTCAAACTTCACTTATTTCAAAGATTAATTTGAGGGATTTTGTATTTTTCTTCAATGCATAATTTCTTCCACTAACTGCCTTTACTAAGTAATCCCTGGCATGAACCGTTTTTTCCACACTTTATGCTAATGAAGGATCTGATTAAGGATTTATCTTTTGTGGGATATGGCAGGAATCAGCTAGGCAATATCCTGTTCTCTTCTGCATCACCCTGAGTTCTATTGATACACAGCTACTCTGATGACTGTAGTCTATAATTCTCATTTTTTCCTCAAAAGTGCAAAGCCTAAATGAAATGACACCTTCATGCAAATCTCCAATAGTCTTTGTAACTCAGCCTCCAAACACCTTCAATAAGG